TCTCCTTGTGCTCTCTTGGCCAGACAATCTTCCCTGTGCAAAGATCTCCTATCCTGATAACACTGCCAGTGGTTCTTTTTTTTTTTTTTTTTTTTTTTTTTTTCCTGAGATGGAGTTTTGCTCTTGTTACCCAAGCTGGAGTGCAATGGCACGATCTCGGCTCACTGCAACCTCTGCCTCCTGGGTTCAGGCAATTCTCCTGCCTCAGCCTCCTGAGTAGCTGGGATTACAGGCACGCGCCACCATGCCCAGCTAATTTTTTGTATTTTTTAGTAGAGACGGGGTTTCACCATGTTGTCCAGGATGGTCTCGATCTCTTGACCTCGTGATCTGCCCGCCTCGGCCTCCCAAAGGGCTGGGATTACAGGCTTGAGCCACTGCGCCCGGCCCGTTCTTAACCTTGGCTGCACATTGGATCCCCTGAGAGCCAATGATTCTGGTTTAAATGCTTGGGGCAAAGCCCTGGGTATCAGGATTATTAAAAGTCCCCGAAGTGATTCTAATGCACAGCCAAGGTCAAGGCCATTTCTTTAACCTACCTTTTCATCTAAGAAGAAGGTGTGTAAAGACTACCAGTTGATGCAAGGTCAGACTCGTTGAAGAAGGCTGGGCTGTATACATTTAGCTCCTTGGCTCGGAGTCCCTGCTCTGACACCAAGCTGCCTGGGAAGAGAAGGCAGGCAGACTGGAAGCTTCACTGTGTCCGACTTGTGTTAATCTGAACCCAGGTAAAGGTGAATGCCTGGCCATCGGCAACTACAGCCAATTCCTTCCGTTATCTTCCCCCTGTTGAAAGCAGCCGTCATACCATTGACTAAAATTCCTGCTGCCAGTGTGTTTCCTTTCCTGGGAAGAATGACTGGGTAAGCCTTCAGTCACTCATTAAGGAGAAAAGAGTAAGATTTGTTGTTAAAGCTATTCCAGGCCACGGTGGATGGGGGAAGATATCCTGGAGGTTGGGAAGTCGCCTCTTTTGCTCTTTCCATTTAAACCCAGCCTAGAAGGGGATAAACCTGGCCTAATCCTTTTAAAAATGACTCTCAACCTTCTGTGTACCTAGGAAATTTGTTAAAATGCAGATTGCTGGGCCCCACCTGGAATTTTTATTCCATTGATATAGTTTAGGAATTTCTAATAAAATTGAATTTTTAATAAACAAATACAGGCAATCTTTATACCCTACTCCAGAAAGCACTGTTTCAGAGGGTGATCTGGAAGAGAGGCTGGGTTTGAAGGCACAGGAGGGAACCTGGGATTGTCCCCTCCCTCCCTGCCCTTCAGGTCCAAGCCTCTTGATCTCAGCCTCCCGGAAGCCAGGCATTCAGCACTTATTCTGACATAGCCCTTGCTTCTCCGGTCTCAGACTAAGATTGTCATGTGATCTGGTCATCTCTCTGCTCCCTCAAGCTGAGGGATCCCGATTCACTGCTTCTTGTCACGCCTACTTAGATAAAAGCTGTATAGCCTATGCAACCAGCCACTACTTACCTATGACTTGAAAGAAAGAGCAGGAAGGCAAGGCGGGAAGGCAGGAAGGCGAGAAAGGCAAGGAAGGCAAGGAAGCCAGAAAGACAGGAAAGGGAAGGGAAGGGAAGGGGAAGAGGAGGGAAGAAGGGGAGGGAGGGGGGAGGGGAGGCGGGGAGGGGAGGGAAGGGAGGGGAGGAAAGGGAAGGGTGACTATAATTAACAATGATTTATTGTATATTTCGAAATAGCTAGAAGAGAAAATTTGGAATGTGCTAATGTGCTCAGCACAAAGAAATGATAAATGTTTGAGGTGATGGCTATTCCACTTACCCTGAGTTGGTCATTACACATTATATGCATATATCAAAATATCGAATGCACCCATAAAAATGTACTGCTATTATACATCAACTTTAAAAAGTATAGTTTATGAAACACTTCAGTAACTTACTATAATTATATAGTTACATAGTATGATTGTTATAGTTGTAATTATATACAATAAAAAGTAGTTAGGGAATGTCAAGAAGCACCAAATGCCAAATTGAGCAAATGGCAAAACTGCATCCAATTCTTTTGCAACATTTTGCATCATCCACAGCAAAATTATATCCACAGCAAAATTACTTATGCAAATTGGCCCCCAGTTTCCTATTACTCTGCCTGTATCCCACTCTTGACAAATTTCTGACAGGATTCTTCACTGCTGGCTCATTTTGCTCTTCAAGTTGGTTAAGCATTAACTTAAGCTAATGCTAACTCCGTCCAGTTACAGTCAGCTTACAACTAGAGCTGCCCTTTGCTCTCCACATGAAGTTATTGAGTTTCCCTGCAATCAATCCACTTCAACCTCTTTCCCTCTCAATTTCTCTTTCTCTCCACTGCCAGACCTCTTGTTTTCATTTCCTTCTTTCTTCTATCTTGAAGATTCTCTTTATTTCCTCAGGAAAAGAAGAAAGGGGTTTGGCACAGAGTATATGTGAACAAATTCTAGAAAATTATAGAGTTCTGAGGCCTAGCTCCCAGAGTCAGAGAAAACCACTTTCAGGGTTATGGGGAAATCACCAATTCCCGCAAGAACAATAATTGTGTACAGCTCATTATCTAAAGGGTCCAGTCAAATAGTTTTCTCAGAACAAAGGAAGAACTTACCTGAAAGGTGAATTAAAACATCCTCCTCTTTCAGGGAAGAACCATGTGAAATTTTATTGTACATTTTTTTAAGTCAGAAAATTATTATGAGGAAAACATAACATGCTCCTATCCTCCCATTATAACATTTTTCTCCATATATGTATATAACACAGATAATACAAATGATATATACACAAGCTATAAAAATTCAAATATTTTAAAACATCATAAAGTAACAATCCCCTTTTTAGAAGGTAGAAGGTCCAGGCAGCAACATAGACACATATTCTTCTTTTTCTTTTAGGGGTCTGTGGCATTCCATTGCATGGATCTATCAGAATTTAGTTAATTAGTTCCCTTTATTTTTTTGAGACAGAGTTTCGCTCTTGTTACCCAGGCTGGAGTGCAATGGGGCGATCTCGGCTCACCGCAACCTCTGCCTCCCGGGTTCATGCAATTCTCCTGCCTCAGCCTCCTGAGTAGCTCGGACTACAGGCATGTGCCACCATGCCCAGCTAATTTTTTGTATTTTTAGTAGAGACGGGGTTTCACCATGTTGACCAGGATGGTCTCGATCTCTTGACCTCGTGATCCACCCGCCTCGGCCTCCCAAAGTGCTGGGATTACAGGCTTGAGCCACCGGGCCCGGCGAATTAGTTCCCTTTTAATGATTGATGAGTTTTGGGTTGTTTTCAGAGTTATGGTTGCAGAGAGGGCAGGAGGAGCAGAGAGGATTAGAGAGTTCTTACACACCATGCTGCAATAAACATGCCTATCTATGTATACTGATACCACATTGTGACCATGTTCATAAGACAAATTCCTAGCAGTCCAATTACTGGGTCAAAAGTCATGGACGTTTTAAATCTTGACAGATATTGATTGTAACATTTTACCTTCCCAACACTGGATATTATTACAGTTGTTAGGTTTTGCCAGTCTGATAGGCAAACATGACATCTCACTGTTGTTTTGATTTAGATTTGTTTAAATATAAGTGAGGTTCAATATCTTTTCATTGGTCTGTTGGCCACTTGTATTTGTTTTCTGTTAGCCATGTGTTCATATCTTTTGCTTATTTTTCTATTGAATTGTTTCTCTTTTTCTTACTGAGTTAAAATATTTCTTTGTAAATCAAGGAAGATTAGTGCAAAAGTAATCTCGGTTTTTGCCATTACTTTTAGTGGCAAAAACCGTGATTACTTTTGCACCAACCTAATACGTAGTTCTTATTATTACTATATACTGCAAATATTTCTTTTAGCATGTCATTTATCTTTTGAATTTGTACATATTGTTACCAGTGGAGGTTCTTGGCTATGAGTCTTCCAAGTTCTTGACATTTTGAACAAGAACTGAACAAAATGAACAAACAAAGCAACAAAAGAATGAAGCAATGAAAGCATAGATTTATTGAAATGAAAGTACGCTCCACAGAATGGGAATGGGCTTGTCCGAGGGGCTCAAGACCACTAGTTACAGAATTTTCCAGGGTTTAGATACCTTCTAGTGGTTTCCCATTGGTTACTAGGATACACCCTATGTAAATGAAGGAGTGGTCCATGACCAGTCTGATTGGTTGCAGAAGGTGACCAATCAGAGACTGAAGTGAAGGTACAAAGTTACACATGAAGACTTGGCCTGGGATCAGTCTGATTGGTTACAGGAGGTACTTTACATTTTTCATCTCTAACACAGTGCAAAGGTAGTAGTAGTCTCTGATCCTTTTGTTACTTGGGCATAGAGAGGTTGGTTTTTCCTTTTGTTTCAGTTCTAGGAAGTCAGTGCAAATTGGCCTTAGGTTCCCTGCCTCCAGACCCTATTCTCCTGCCTGTTTTACTTCTTCTTCTAAAGAAGTTTCGAATATCAGCCAGATTTAATAATCATTTTCTTTATGACTTCTATGTAGGAGTAACTTTTAAATGGAAGTTTTAATAGATGCTACCTACTAACGTTTTAAAAAATAAGAACCTTGGGCCTGATTGAAGCCTCTGCTGCGTCCACAGAGTAGCACCTATCTTCATAATGTGGATACTCTAAGACAGTGACCAATGAACAACACGGCTTGTAATAGGATTGGAGGACTTTTGCCTCGTGTCTCCTCAGAACAGACAGATCAAGAAATCAGAATTTCTTTCTTTACAGCCTGGATTGGCCCAGACATCTCAGCAGAGAGGGACATAGCCCAGTGACCACATTCCTTGTGGAATCAGTCATACTTCTCTTTTGCTAAAGTAGCAGATGGTCAATTTAATTAAATACAATATAATTCGTCCTATTTGGAGGTTTTCTTGGTAAGACTTGTTTCCCTTCTTTTTTATATTCAAGAAGAGTAGAAGCCTTTTTAAAAAAAAAAATCAGACCAGTTATTAATATGTTTAATTTTGCTTTTTTTACAGGCAGCTGCAAAAGATAGTCCATGATATTAAAAACAATGAAGGTGGAATAATGAATAAAATCAAAAAGTAAGTTTGACTCTGCTTAAATATTTAGTTATATAAAATAAGTCAGCATATGGTACATGGAAGAAAACAAATTTCTCTATTAACTTGATGAGGAGTTTCAACCTCTTTAGCATACAACCCTTCCTTGCTATTGGCTGGAATCCATGGTGGTTAGGTCTACATTCTGGAACAGGACAAGTGAGTGCAGTGGTACTCAGGGGACTTTGATTTTCCTTCTCACTGCAGGGAAGGTGAGCTATGCCCATTCAAGGTGCCTAACAAATGTCAAAGCAGGAAAATCATTTCTATAACCATTTAGCTAAGGACTACCAAGACATCTATGGAGCAATCCAAATGAAAAGCTACAAAACACAGCCCTAGCTTCTTCAGGATGCCATATCCATTTTCCATATTTTGATTCCTGCTTTTTGAATTTTTACCTTAAAATGAACTTTTCAATTGGCACCTGGAGAGGAAAAACTAGCACCACAAAACTCCTTGTACATCAAAATCTCTTAAGCTTTTTTTTTTTTTAAAGAGAATAAAAATGGTACATATCTGCATTTGCCACTCAAAATCTAAGGTAGACTTATCTTAATAGGTAAGTCTCTTTCAAGAGAAAATGGAAAATGGTATTCTGTTAAGTCTTAAAATTTTTTTAAATGAAACTAATACAGATTCACCAGGGAAAAGAAAAAGAAGCCAGAATGTATGAACTCCCATTTCCTTGTATCTCCATCTTAACCCACTCCCCGGAAAGGGATGTTGTCATAAGTTAATTCAATGTGTGTCTATATATGTATGTCTGTGTGTGCTTACACACACAGACATACATACACTGACCTTGTACATTCTATACACATACATTTTCATCATGAATGTTGTCATAGTGCATACGCCATTCCACCAACCTGGTTTGCTGGTTTTACTTAAGCTATTTCATGGACATCTTTATTTGTAAGTAAGTAAAAATTAACCACATTTTTTTCTGAACAGATGATTTAATAGTCTACCTTAAATGTATTACAATTCAATTAACTAGCTATATATGGTGGCCATCTTTAAGGGGGGGGTTGAATTTAAACTGGTATAACATTCTGGAGAGCAATTTCAATCAAAATTCTCTGGTTGCTTCTTCCAATTTAAATGTCATGAATAATACTTTAATAAATGTTCATTGCAGACCTTGAATATACCAGTAGGCTAAATTCCTGAAATGAAATTTCCAAATGGAAGGAGTTGTGTCCTTAAAATTTTGATTGCTATTACCAAATTTTTCTCCCCAAATTTTGGACCAAAAAATAGTTTATAGAAGTTCATTTCTCTATGCATTCAAAACAGTATCCTTATTCTTTTTAATCTATGCTAAAATTAAAAATAAGAAATCACTTTTGGTGGTATTTCCAGTCTATGAAATGTAAATGAGTCTCTATGCATAAGTGATCATCATAAAATATTAATGGCCTTCTGCTTGTGAGGTAGTGGTCATCTTACAGAGGAGGAGAATTTGGCTTCATATTCTGTCTGGTGACTGGGAGGTGTGTGATGATTTTTCCTTATTATTTCTGCTACAGATAGGATCTCATTCTCTATGACAGAGTCCTTGTTACAATCACTAGCAATTCTAGATTAATTCTCCCCCCGTTGCCAGCTTTACAGTACACCGGTTCTCAATAACAGGAAGTCTCTGCATAAAATGTCTCTTTATTCCATGGTCAGTCATATTTACAGCAGCTGTGGAGCTCAAATTTTTTCTGACAGCTTCTGTTTCAAACATTCTGCCCATTGGACGACCAAAGCACTTTTACATGAAAAACGATGTTTCTTCTCAGCCTGGAAATTATGGCCGCTATAGTCATTATGCGGGGTGACATCAGGGGCCCGTTAGCTCAAAGTGACTTGCAATTATGCTCTTACTTGGAGCCAGGCCGCAGGTGCTACCATGAACGGAGGAAACACACTTGACCAAGCTGGTTTCCTAACGCAAGGCTGTGACAGGGTTTTCACTGGTCCATGGCCACATGAGAAAATAAGGTTGTGTGCAGCAGCCAGCTACAAAGTTCACCCACACCTTTTATTCCTAGTGTTCTGTGGCTAACAGTCCTTTAATGAGTTTTTTCTTTATTCTGAGATGATTTGGGGGTGTTAAAATACTCTTCCTTTTCTTGTATGGAAGGATAGAAATAGTAGATAATAAATAGTTTGTGCTTTTGGAAATTTTACTATTCCTTGAAGCAACCTGGGCACCAGATCTGGTTTTGTTTTTGTTTTTCTTCCTTGCAACACCTTGGACGATCTCTGTCTCTGTACCTCATACGAACCTAATGATAGGATCTTCCCAGCCTACCCTGCTGGCTTGTGAGAATTGAATGAAATAATAGATACTGAGAGCCTAGGAGAAAAAGAAAACCAGAATTTCTATGTAAATATAGGTATTGTTATTGTTGCAAATTACAATTTTGGTTCGTAAATTCTTTTTGTGTGCATTTTCTAATCAAACACAAATTTCTATGCTGCTTTTCTTTTCTTACAAAACATGAAATGTTTCTATATAATAGCAGTTATACTGCTTCTATAGAAGGATATGATATTTTAGAAAATAAAGGCTACTGGATATAAGTTTTATTTATGTATATTTTAAATTTCATTCAGCAAATAATTCTTAGTTAAAATGGGTAATAATTATTACAAATAATTTACTGTAAACTTACTCATTTTAAGTAGCGGAAAAGGAGGTATCAGAACTTACAAAACTTAGAATAATTTTCTAAAATGTAATTTAAATTTTGTTCTTTTATTGAATGGAGAAGGATTGTGAATATTTAGCACATTTCATATGTGCATAAAGATACTAAAGTCGTTTTGAGAGTGCTTAAAATGAGTTGAATACTAAATAAAATGAGTATCATAATCTCCAATCTTAAGACACTCACTGTTCACTTATTTGGCTTTTTTTTTTTTTTTAAAGACAGTGTCTCACTCTGCCACCCAAGCTGGAGTGCAGGGGTGTGATCACGGCTCACTGCAGCCCTTACCTCTGGGACCCAAGCCATCCTCCCACCTTAGCCTCTCAAGTAGCTGGGACCACAGGCACATGCCACCATGCCTGGCTCATTTTGCTTATTTTTTGTAGAGATGAAGTCTCACTACGTTACCCAGGATAGTTTTGAACTCCTCGGCACAAATAATCCTCCTGTCTTGGCCTCTCAAAGTGCTAAGATTACAGAAATGAGCCAACATGTCTGGCTTATTTGCATTTTTTAAATGGTGCAAAAATAATTTTAGCCCAACCTACAACTAAAATGCTTACTATAACTGTTTTTTTTTCCTGTTAAACATTTGTAAGCCACTAAAATGTAGTTCATCTTACCTTATCTTCCTGTCAACACTTGCCTTACCAACCAATCGACACTTACCTTCCTTGAACCTCTGAACTCAGTGATTACCACTGTAGTATTCTGACCTCTCTGAGCCCTTCTCCACCTGACTTCACCTTTGCCAAGTCATAGCCACACTGTGCTTGCCCTGGGGAGGTGGGGAGAAGTGGAAAACCTCTGACTAAGGCTTCACTACATTACGATACATCAAATCTGTCCATTGATGAGTCCAAAAGAAGCCGTTATGCTATTGGTTGTCTATCTATTCTCTCTATATCAGCTTGTAGCATTGGCTCTGACATTCATTGTTCTGCTCACTGACCTTTTGTCTCGTGGTTGTTACCTCCAGGCTAAAAGTCAAAGCACCTCCAAGTGTTCCTCGAAGGGACTACGCTTCCGGTAAGAATATTTCTCAGATACTTTAACTGACTGTTGACTAATTTAATGTTCATATTTACACTTATGCTTATGGAAAAGAAAAGATGTTATCTTCATTTGAAAACAACGGTATCTTTCCAATTTTCTTTTTCCCAAATTTCAAGAATGACTAAATCTATTAGGCGTCTGACTACCGTGGAGATGTAGCTTTTATCCATCCATCCACCTATCTGTTTACTGGATGTTTATTAAAGATCTTCCATGTGCTAGGCACACACATGGCCAATATAGTAAGATCCCATCTCTTAAAATATAAGAAAAAATTATAAGCAAAATAGAAATAGAGTTTGTCCTGTGCAACTTCAAAGGAGCGAATTAAGAAGTTAGGTCATTTGTGTGGTTTTTTCCTCTGGGATAAACGTCTCCAGTGGTTCAGCTGTTTCTCACATTTTCTGATTCATTCAACACATGTTTCATGAGTGCATCCTGTGTGACTCTCACTGTGCTAGATCTGGAGTGGGAACAACATCTAGTGCCTGAGCTTACAGTGCTGAATGACTAGTGATGACTCAGATAAGAAACAAGAAAGCAAACAGGTAAATATACATTAGCGAGCATGGTAACTGCTGTGAGGGAAAATGGCAGGGTGCCATGATGGGGATTCAGTGTGGGGTAGGAGAAGAGCTTAGGTGGTCTGGGAAGGTCTGTCTGAGGAGGTGACATTTGATTGGAGGACTTGGGGTCAAATAGGCAGGAACATTTGTCACTTTCAGATGAACCAACAGCATCAGAGATGCTGGAAACAGATGCCAGACACAGATGCCAAGAGTTCAGAGTGAATTGTTGAAACCCTGAGTGGACTGACATATCTGATTTCAGGGTGGACATCGCTCCTGATTGTCCCCTCACACTCAGCTGTCTGCCTGCGCATCCCCTCACCCAGACCCTCTCCTTTCCCTCTACTTCTGCTTGGGGAAAAGGGAGGTAGCATCTGTCTGTTATTCAACCTTTTGCCTAACTCACACGCCTTGGGCTCAACCTTGATGCCTCCTTTTCTCTCACCCTCTACAAAAATTAATCTCCAAATCTCACTGATTCTCTCTTAACTGCATCTTCAATATTTTTCCCCTGTCTATTCCCATTGCTACAGCTAAGGCCTTCATCATCTCTTGCTTGTCCCAGTACAGAAGGCTCTAAGTAGTCTGTTTAATTCCTGATTGCCTGTGGTCCTCTCAACTTCCACCAGAAAACTGGTCTGAAATAAAATTCTCTTTAAATCTTGTCATGGCTCTACATCACCAACAAGAGGAACTGCAGACCACTGAGCCCACACACAAGGTCTTCCAGTGTCTAGCCACCAACTGGCTGCGTAACTTTGGGCATCCCGTGCTCCTCGCCTCATCCATATTATGCAGGCCTGAACCAGAAGATCCATCAGGCCCCCTCTAATACTAGTTGTTCTGCACTCTTATAGAAGCGCAGATCTTTGGGGCTCAGAGCCCAGTGATAAAGTGAGCCTCTCCTAACATTCTTTAGGAATTTACATCTCCCAATCTCCCTGATGCTCTGAAGTGTTCTCTGTTTTGACCTCAGACACCTGCTCCCTTTCCTAGAACCTTCTAAATAGTCTTGATGTCAGAACATTTGTACTTAATCTCTCCTGGAATGCAGAAGTGTGGCCCAACAGGTTCTGTAAGCCTTTGCAAGACAAAGCATGATCCCAGCCCGACAGCATCAACCTCATCAGGAGTTTGTTAGAAATGCAGAATCTTGGGCCCACGCTAGAACTACTGAATCAGCATTTGCATTTTAGCAAGATCTCCAGGGGACTTGAATGTAAATCACATTTAAGAAACCCTGCTATAAACCACCATCTCTGTCCCTGTTGCCTCTCTTGAACTGAAAGACAAGTAGATTTTTACTCCCTCAACCCCTGACCCCTGCAAATCCACTGATGTTCCAGGATCTCAGAAATGCATCTTATTGCTTTGCCAGATGAGTGGGGCCTTGCCCAGTCTCCCCTGCTCTTACACTCAATCCCTGGAAATGGTCCAAAACCACCATTACCACCTGCAGTTAGCGTCCTCCCTTGCCGTTCTCTCTCCCACCCCAGTTCACGTCCCAGGAGCATTTCCAGCTGCTTCCCCTGAGCCTTGGGGTTTCTGCACAGCTGCATGCCTAGGAGCTCAGAAATCAGCTCTGAGAGCTCCTCCTGAACCTGGGAGTCTTCAGGACCTTGGAAACCCTAGTGTGTGGAGGCCAGCGCCCACCAGACCTCCTGAACCTGGGAGGCTGATCACGTGCTCTCGGGAGCACTGATGGTGGATTTATGTCCTCTTTCCAGTTCTGGAAACAAATGGCTCCACCAAACCCTCTAAGCTTGTTAACCTTGGTGATGCTGACCTTCAGAGAACAGAGGATGGGAAGGGCCAGCAACCTCCCCCTGAGATCAGTAAGAGTCACCATAGCCCCTTCCCCGGTTAGAGTACAGAAAGACAAAGCTTGAATTACACAAAGAATGAAGACCTGGGTCTCCTCCAGGGACCCAGGTTAGGCCAGTGTGAAGCCTGCTGCCTTCAGTTCAGACCCGCAATCCCAGTTCAGTCTTTGCCTAAGGAGGAAACATCCCCCTTAAGGACCTCCTGGCCCAGTGGGCAGAGTGCATTACCCCAAGCAGCTGGCATTGCTGCAGGAAGGGGATGATATCCAAACTGTTGAGTACTGACCCTGTTCTGGGCATTAAGCTAAGCTCTTCAGAGACATGTCTCATTTAATCTTCTCATTAGCACCGTTATATAGAAATTACGATCTCAGTTTTGCAGATGAGGAAAATGTGTCTCAAGGACATTAAGTATCCTGTCCAAGGCGACTGCCACCACTAAGAGGAAAACCCATCCCAGACTCGCATTTCACTGTTCCTTGCCTTGACCCATGCTCAGGTATTTATACTTTGGGGTATATTTCTTCTTATTCTGAAGACATTAGAGCGCCTGACATTAACACAAAAACGTGCTTCCCAGTTTCTGAGCTTCCACAGTTGAACAGTCTTTTGTATCTTTGAAGCCTGAGGTCTGGCTGGGGATGGAGGCCCGGGGGAGACCAGTCATGATGCCCAAGAGTCTCCTGGGATCACTGCAGATGTCCCGTTGGTTACCCCACAAGTCCTTGAGGAGTCAGAACTGAACAGAACCCCTCTCTTGCACTCCTGGACTCTGATGTCCAGCGCTCTGATGGGTGGCATTCCTGGAGGTCCACCTGTGACTTCCTCCTCTAGGTCTGCTATCATGCAGGGAGGAGATCAGAGCAAATGTGGGGTGGAGGGGGGGAAACTCACATGAAAAAAAATTTAAATCCAGAGCAAAGAAGGCACTTGGACAGGGATTCTTGGGTAAAAGCCCACACAGAAGTATAGGGTATGCATAACAATCCTTCGTCCACTAAAGAAGTGAGATTTAACACTGCTTTCGCCATGGCCCTGGTGCTCCTAGTGGAGCCAGAATTTACCTGGTTTTCTCTCTCCCTGTTCACACTCCCCTGGTGGTATTGTCCTTACACTGACATGGGAGAGTTATATCCAACATCAGTCCTGCCACAGGGAACAAAGAAGAGAGGAATGACACTTGGGCTCAAAGGTATTTTAAAGCTTAGAATGTCCTGAAAGATTGCCCAATCCAAGCTTCTCATTTTAGAAAGAACTGGAGACCAGAGAGGCAAGTGACTCCCGAGGTCATACAGTGAAGTGACGGCTGAGCCAAGACTATGTTCCCCGTGACTGTACCCCCACCCTTCTGTTGATGATCCTGCGAAGGGATGAGTAAACATACAGACAAAGGGAGTTTCTAAGATGAGTATTTCTTTTTTCTTTTCTTGAGACGAGGTTTCACTCTGTCACCCAGGCTGCGGTGCAGGGGTGTGATTGTGGCTTACTGCAGCCTCAACTTCCTGGGCTCAAGCGATCCTCCTGCTCCAGCCTCCCAAAGTGCTGGGATAACAGGTGTGAGCCCACCACGCCCAGACTAAGTTGTTAAGTATTTAGACTCAGAACACCTCTCCAAGCCAGCCCGAATCTGGTCCTTGTCCTCAGCTCCCCACATTAAATCATGCCCCTTTCCCCTCTCAGGATGGCACTGGCAGGATTGGCCACCCACCTCCTCCCTGCAGCCTCTGTAGTTCTGCTTTCTGTTCCTTTTCGGTGTCTGTCCCCACCACCGCAACCGGCCTACCCTCCCTCTTTCCTTCCTTCTGTGTCCTGCTGTGGTCTTCCCGCTGGCTCCCTGCATGCCACCACCTGCTCTGTGTGGGGAGAGGTGGGCAAGGTCTGGCGGCCCGGCAGCCTCCAGAGCAGGATCAGGGCCGAAGCTGAGGCAGAATGTCAGACACGCTGCGATACCACCAGCATCTGCCCCAGGGGCTCCTGTGCTCCTGCTGACTCAGAACTGAGAGGCTGGATTCACACCCCTTTGCCCCAGCCGCCACCAGAGTCCTGTACTGTCCTTCCAGCCATCCCTTCCCATTCCCGAGACCCCCTAGTCTGGATCAGCCATCGTCTCTCCCTGCCCAAGTTCCTAAACACCATCCTCATAAGCCCCTCATCTCAGCTTGTCCCTGGAGCCTGCGGCGTTCACTATGGCTGGAGCCCCCACTGGCTGGCAGCACATCAGGTTTGTGTGAGTGCTCAGCAGAATCACCTGGCTCTCTCCCTCTCCAGCCCAGCACATTGGTTCTGCACACATCTGCTTCTAAGCCCTGCTTCTGGGGCTGGCACATAAGCCCCTGTCTCAGATGATGGAGGAGGACACCCTCCTTCATCCTTATTCTCTCCCCTAAATCTTGCTCATCCTTCAAGACCCCATTCGGTCCCCCCTCGGGCACATGGCCTCAGGCAAATTTTTGGCTGTCACTGAGTACACCTTTCTCTGAACTTTCCCAGCTCCCGGCAACGACCCCAGGTGTGGGGACATTTCTCAGGAAACTTTATATGGCTCTGGGTTGTCCTCAGTCTCATGTGGTCATTCTTCTTGTCCTTAAGTCTTTATTTGTATTACGCAGCATGGCTTGGTGAGAAGACCTCAGACTTTGGGGTCCTTTAGGCCTGTGTTGGAATCCTGGCTTTGCCCCCTAAGCACTGTGTGAACTTGGAACAGTTTTGTAACTTGAGTGAGCCTCCAATTCCTGACCTGGGGATAAGAATACCTATACTTTAGATCAGGCGTCCCCAAACTTTTTACACAGGGGGCCAGTTCACTGTCCCTCAGACCGTTGGAGGGCCGCCACATACTGTGCTCCTCTCACTGACCACCAACGAAAGAGGTGCCCCTTCCTGAAGTGCGGCGGGGGGGCCGGATAAATGGCCTCAGGGGGCCACATGTGGCCCGTGGGCCGTAGTTTGGGGACGCCTGCTTTAGATTGTTCTGAGACTTGCAGAGACTGTAAGTTCTTTGTAATAGCTAACATTCATTGACTTCTTTACTCTCTATCAGATACTCTTCTAAGTACAATTAATAATGTCCATTTTATCAAAGGGAAACTGAGGCCCAGAGGTGAAGCAATTCAGCTAAGATCTCACTCCCGGAAAATGGCAGAATAAGGATTCTGAGTTAGGCAGTCTGACTCCAGAGCCTCAGCCCAAATAGGGGCCACTGTGGCCATTCTCACATCTCCTCATGCCTGGTGCTGTGCCCACAGGCCGGGAGGGCTGCAGGAATCTTAAAACCTGGGCGAGGCAAGGGGAGGAGTCCCTCTATTGTTTGGCATGGGATTATGACATGGCAAATGGAGTATAGGCCCCAAACCAGGTAAACCACACCATAGGAAAGGCTTTACCTGACGAGTGGCCCACCCAGGATCTCAGCTTCCTAGCAGGGACCATGCAGTCACACACACAAAATCAAGCCACCTGGCCCATATGAATTTCTCCTCCCGCAAATTCTACTCACTACAATAGAGGTTTTCTTGGATTCATTTCTTTGCGGTAGCCACAGTGTGTGATTGACAGGGGAGTGAATTAGAATCGGTGGTGTTTTGAGTGTTAATTGAGGCATTCTTCGAAATGCCCAAGCTGGCAGTACCATTACTAAGGCATTACTGTGTGGCAGGCTTTGCTAAGAGCTTCACGTGTATCCTATGACTTCGTTCTCACAAAAACATGATGCAGGCACTATTCTTATCTTTGCTGTACAGGTAAGGAAATGAAGTTTTAAACAATATTAAATTATTGGTCCAAAACCAAGCAGCTAGTAAAGGATAGAGCCAGGATTTGAACCCAGAGAGCCTGGCTCTAAAGCTACCTGTGCACTTCGGGAGGCTTCCTGAGATACTGGAAAACTGAATACTGTTTTGAACCTAACACCCTGGACCGCTGTGCTTTTTAGTCTTCGCAACTGCCTGCAAGGCTGTAACTTTATGAATATGATGATGTGAATTGCAGTTGGGACCAGAAGTAGATAGTCTAGCTAGGGATCGAGGGGGCCCCGACAAACCACCTCTTCCACATCCCATATGATGTTTCTCTCTTTTCTGTTTCCATGTGCCAAGATGTCTGGATTGGGTTCCCGTTTCACCAAGGTTTTACCTAAGTGCTCAGAAGAGAGTTAGGTGGCTCATATGAGATTTCAGCTGCAAAAACCAACACAACCTGTCTTTCAACCCAGCTCCCAGACTTACTAGTCATGTAGCCTCAGGCAGGTTTTACTACCTCTTTCAAAACCAAGTTTCTCCACTGTGAAATAGAGATAATAACACCTACCACATAGTGCTGTTGTAAGAATATACTTTTACAACACTTAACCTGGCACCCAGCACATGGGAAGTGTTCAGTAAATGGAATCTATTGTTGTTACCTTAGTGTTCCTTTATTTGAGTCATTTATTAGTTGATGTTTTATTAATACATTAATTACAAATGCAAAATTCTTTTCAGATGCAAAGATAAATTCGATAGGCCTTACCTTTCAGTACAGAAAGACATGAACAACTTAATCACAGCACAGAACAGAACGAGGTACTTGTGACATCACTGCCACCAGCTTCCAAGAGGGCCCAGAAAAAGAAGTGATTGATTACGACAAGAGACTGGGGTAGACTTTGTGGAGGAGGAATGACAGGGATTTCCATGGAAGAAGGAAGACGGGCGGGGGGAATGGCATGAGTAGAGAGGAGAATCAGCAGAGCGCGCGGCGGGAGGAGCAAGCCGTCCGGCGTTACTGTCAGTGAGCATGAGAGCCCCCGGCAGGAGAAGTTGGCTGGGGGCAGAAGGCGGAGGCTTTGGAATGTGTCGACACAGAACCTCCACTTGATTCCACAGGGAGTCACTGATGATTCTTGAGGAAAGGAACAGCATCATCCAACCTTTATTTTAATAGAATAACTAGAAACAGTAGGATGAATGGATTGCAGAAGAAAGATGATGGAGACAGGGACACCAGTTAGATGGCTAATGCAGCTACTTTCACCAGTGACTGAGCACACAGGAGGCCCCCAGGAAAAGGTGGCGCAAGTGCAGTTATCCGGGCAGGGAAATGGGTTTCACAGAGGCCTTTTATAAAGGTTTTTATGTAAATGGTTGGTACAAAAACTCTTGCCGTCTTAAGTGTTATCTTCAGTGACCCCCCAGACATAAGGTATTAGAAACATATTGACCAGATGTGGTGGTTCATGCCCTAATCCCAGTACTTTTGGAGGCAGAGGCAGGTGAGTCATTTGAGCCCAGGAGTTCAAGACCAGCCTGGGCAACATGGCAAAACACCATTTCTATAAAAAATACAAAAGTTAGCTGGGCATGGTGGCATGTGCCAGCTACTCAGGAGGCTGGGGTAGGAGGATCACTGGCACCAAGGAGGTTGAAGCTGCAGTGAGCCATGATTATGTCACTGCACTCCCACCTGGGCAACAGAGTGAGACCCTGTCTCAAAAAAAAAAGAAAAAAAAAAAAAAAACAAAAACAAGAAACGTACTCTCCCATCGTGCCAGGTAATCATGTTGGGAAGAGGATTGATTCACCCATTCTTCTAGAGTATACCACGATCAACCCCAGTAATCGTGGTATACTCTAATTCGGCATCAGTCAACCCAAAGAATAATGTATTAAGAATTATTATCTGTTCACGTCGAGTGGAACCTGTATTTGGCTTGCAGTGAGGCTCCTTCTTATCACCTATCATGTTTTTCCCAAGAGAGGGCGCTGCTGCCACCATTGTTTAAGATGTGGCCACTCCGATCCCACAGTCTCCTTCCTGACCCCATTTTACCTCTGCAATTCCTTTGCTGGTGCCTCTGGAGAACCCAAATGTTTGACTCTCTGAATGGAATCCAGTGATCTACTGTGGCAGGGGTAGAAGTAACAAAAAGAAAATAAAATAAAACTAGAAAATGTTCTTTTGAGGTTGTGGGGAATTTAGGAATATCCACTGGGTCCTTAGTGGCAGTGACTGCGCATCGGGGCAGGAGGGAGCTGGGACCCTCTGTGGTGCTGTCATAGAGCCACTCTGTCACCTGGGCCTGTGTCTATTTGATTCCTACACAGCAGAGTGAATCCCATATAACCTCTAAGGGCAGTTTATGTGATAGGCTAGATGCTAAGTTTCTCATACTCTAAATGTGCTTTGGAGGGCAAGAGGTCAAATATTCACCTGGGCTGTCATAATTCAGCCTTATTTTACTCAAAAGCTCATAAACTGCTTTTGGAAGCCACAATCTGTCATATTCATTTTTATATGCCCATGCAGAGCCCAGGATGGCACCTGTCCCTGGAGCTCAAAGACAGGGAGGCAACACCGTGGGGTGGGGGGCTCTGCGCATGCCCGTGGAAGGCACCCGCAGGGTTCAGCTCCGGACTCTGTCATTTATTGTACTATCTGACCTTGGGCACATGATATATCTGCTCTAGGCCTCAGTTTCCTCACAAGGTTTAAGTGATTTTTTTTTCTTTTATCTTTCTTTTTTTTTTTTTTTTTTTTTTTTTTTTTTTTGGAGACAGGGTCTTATTCTCTCACCCTGGCTGGAGTGCAATGGCACTATCACAGCTCACCACAGCCTCAACCCCCTGGGCTCAAGCAATCCTCCCATCTCAGCCTGCCGAGTAGCTGGAACTACAGCCATGGACCACCACAAGCAGCTAATTATTTTATTGTTTGTAGAGATTGGCCTTGCCGTGTTGCCCAGACTGGTCTCGAACCCCTGGGCTCAAGCAACACTCCTGCCTTGGCCTCTCAAAGTGCTGAGATTACAGGCATAAGCCCCAACACCCGGCCCCTCACAAGGTCTTTGAGGGCAAGGCCAAAAGAAGACAAAACTCTAATAATAATATTGTCTGGCACATAGTAAAGCACCGGATCATTTGTTTTTTCACACGAAAAGTCAAAGTTAGATCCAGAGAGGACCACAGAAATAATTCCCTCATTGTATAGATCTGGAAACTGAGGCTCAGAGATGTTAGAGGTCTTGCCCACACTCCAATGCATTAGGAACAAAGCCTGGATAAGAACTGAGGTCTGTCTGACTCTCTGTCTAGTGGTCTTCCTAGTACGCCGTCCTCTGAAGTTCTTAGAAGCCACATAGTATGAATTGTAGATCTCTACTGGGTAACCCAGCAATGTCCCTTAACAAAGATCACATATGGATCAGATGCACATTGCTCTGCCTGGTGGGACTTCTCTCTATGCTTTGAAAATCAAAATTTTTAAAAAGTCAAAAGTAAGTGAATATATGATTGTAGTAACCAACCCAAGGTCAAGTATATAGCACCAGAAAGCCCAAAGGGAAGGGAAGGCAGATGGGAGGTATGTGTGGACGGGCTGGGGCTGGCCCACTGAGGCTCATGTGTGTACCTTCTGCTTCTCCCATGCCATTGCAGAGAGCCCCGCGGATGAAGAGGAACAGTGGTCTGATGACTTTGTAAGTATTTGCTCCTGAGACTAGGAGGGCATTAGGGTCCCATGGGAGGCCTTTTGAAAGTCTTGTTTCTGAATTACATGCTGGTGGTCAGCCGCACATCACAGAGGGAACAGAAAGAGGGCAGGCTTGGAAAGGTCACCTACAGGCAGCACATACCGCATACCGGCTGACTTGACCCGCACTCACTGTGTGCCTGGCTAAGAGCTTTCCATGCATGACCCCATTTAAACCTCACCACAGCCCTTTGAGGTAGGTGTTCTTAGCCCCACCTTCAGGGCTGGTGTTCAGAGTACTCACCAACACAGCCAAAACAGGTGTCGGAGTGTTTAAATGTTTCCATATCAGTTGACAAATGCCTCTGCCCTAAACTTCCCAGTGTCCCATGACTGCCTGACCCCTGCCCAGGAGCCCTAAACAAGCCAACGACTCAAGAATGGGTGTCTGGCACATTAAGGGGCCTCCAGGACCAAGGTATAGAAAGTTTTGGTAACTTGCAGTTCCACGGTTCAAACCCAGGCCCTCAGATCTCAGGGCCTTGGTGGCTCTTCACCAGTAAGGTGCTTGCTGTGATCAAGAGAACACTAGCAGAGCTCCAGAGGCCACAGAGTGAGAGAGGGACCTGGCCATGATGACACTGGAGATGTATCAGAATTCCTCTCTGAGGCAGCTCTAAAATCTGCAAGGCCTCTGCACTCACTTCTCTCTTGGGCTGAGTCTTCTAGGGACAAGACATCCTGAAAACTTTTCTTCACAATAATTATTCCTCACTTTTATCAAATTCATCTAGAATGTTAGCCTGCTCCAGTCTGTGAGTTTGAGATCTGGAAGGGACCCAAGAAGTCTTCCATACAACCACATACCCATTTCACAGATAAGAAAACTGAGGCCAAGAGAATGAAAATCACATATTTACTCAGTGACCAGTGGAATGAGAACCTAGGACTTGGACCTCCAGTCCTGTGTCCAGCTCTGGGCTATGCACACTACCTGAAGTTTATACAGAGTCTTGGGAGATGGGAGTTCCTCCTCCTTCAACTGCAGAAAAAGAAAAGAAAAAATGAGGGGAAGAGGTGACTTTTCAGCCCATCTTTTGGTCATGGAGCTCCTTCTGGGGCCCAGCAGCCACTGCTCCCTGAGACGCACTGCAGCAGCGCCCCCTGCTGGCCACACACACACACACACACTCACACACACACACACACACACACACACACACACACCCCCTCCGTGTAAAGCAAAGAAATTGGGGACTTAGAAAGCACACACTAAAATCAGCCTGGAGAAGAGAGAATGACTTGCCCCAAAATCAAACAACCAAAATGAGGGTACCAGCTGTACTGAGGACTGAGTAAGCATTCACTCACAGCTCTTCTGACTTCAGTAGATAGATCCCCACTGAACGCAGAATGAAATCCAGGCTTGTTACTGAAGCCTCCAGGCTTTCTTGATTTAAAAAAAAATCTTGCTGGCTGGGTGCGGTGGCTCACACCTGTAATCCCAGCACTTTGGGAGACTGAGGCGGGCGGATCACTTGAGATCAGGAGTTAAAGACCAGCCTGCCCAACATGGTAAAACCTCATCTCTACTAAAAATACAAAAATTAGCCGGGCATGGTGGCACATGCCTATAATCCCAGATACTTGGGAGGCTGAGTGGGGAGAATTACTTGAGCCCAGGAGGCGGAGATTGCAGTGATTGCAGTGAGCCAAGATCACACCAGTGCACTCCAGCCTGGGTGAGAGAGTGAGACTCTGTCTCAAAAACAACAACAAAAAAATTACTATATGTTCTCACTCACTTGTAGGAGCTAAAAATGAAGACACTTGAACTCATGGAGACAGACAGTAGAATGATGTCTACCAGAGGCTGGGAAGGGTGATTGAGGGGGCAGCAGGTGGGGAGGGAAATGGGGATGGTTAATGAGAACGAAAATGCAGTTATGATGAATAAGAGCTAGTGTTTGACGGCACAACAGGGTGACTCCAGTCAACAATAATTCATTGCACATTAAAAAATAAATAAAAGAATGTAATTGGAATGTTTATAACACAAAACAATGAGGAATGCTTGAGTGATAGCTACCTCATTTACCCAGATGTGACTACTACATGTTGTATGCCTGTATCAAGATATCTCATATATACTATGTATATATACCTACTATGTACCCCTACAACTCTTTTTTAAAAAGACCAACAGGAAAAAAAGATCCTGCTATATAAAATTGTTCATGAAAGGTGACAGGCCAAAAAGCAAGTGGAAAGTCACATACAGATCATGCAATGTGACAGGCAGAGTGTGGGGGTGGTGAACACAGAGGCCAGAGGACCTTTTATATCCTGAGTCAAATATTTCCTCCACATTAATATATGTAGAAACCGTATATACATAAATTACCTCTGAAAAACATGCACAAGAAGCCTAGTAACTCTGTTTGCCTCTAAAGCAGAGAAGCTGAGAAGGAGACTGCACCTTACAACCTTCTGAGCTGTTTGGACTTTAGACCACGACAATGCATTTTAAATATGGACTTAAATAAAATGTGTAAAAAAAGAAACCGACCAAGCTCAGTGGCTTAGACTGCAATCTCAGCACTTAGGGAGGCTGACTTGGGCGGATCACCTGAGGTCAGAAGTTCGAGACCAGCCTGGCCAACATGATGAAACCACTTTTCTAAAAATACAAAATTAGCCGAGCATGGTGGCTTGCCCCTATAATCCCAGCTACTTGGGAGGCTGAGACAGGAGAATAGCTTGAACCCAGGAAGTGGAGGTTGCAGTGAGCCAAGATCATGCCATTGCACTCCAGTCTGGGAAACACAGTGAGACTCTGTCTCAAAAAAATTAAAAAAAACAAAAACAAAAATAAAGAGAGTGTACTCTGAGTCCATTTAAAGACTTGATCCTGCAGCTTACCAACTCTCCTTGAAATTTTTTTTAAATCTCATCTGAAAGATAACCAGCTGGCCCTGTGTATCTCTTCACCCTCTTCGTATTAAACCTACTTTCACTTCAGTTATCAGCATTCATAATAGATAAAACCCACTGGTTATTCTATTTTATTGGGTCCTTTTTCTATCTTTTCTTTCTTTTTCTTTTCTTGAGACAGAGTCTTGCTTTATCACTGAGGCTGGAGTGCAATGGTATGATCTCGGCTCACTGCAACCTTCACCTCCTGGGTTCAAGCGATTCTTTTGCCTCAGCCTCCCAAGTAGCTGGGACTACAGGCACACACCTCCACACCGAGCTAATTTTTTTAAAATTTTTGATAGAGATGAGGTTTCACCCTGTTTCCCAGGCTGGTCTCCTGAGCTCAGGCGATCTGCCCACCTCGACTTCCCAAAGTGCTAGGATTACAGCCCCTTTTTCTATCTTTTAAAAATAGGTTTTATTATTCCCTACTGTGTTATTCCTTGTGGATCTACAGAGGGTCAACTCCCAATAGCGTTAAGTAGTTCATGTGTCCCCGTAGGACAGCACAGTGGTCGAAGGGATAAACTTTGGAGGTAGAAATGCCTGCTTCAAACCCCAGCTTTGCCTCTTACCAACTGCCCGGCCTTGGCAGCCTCTCCAAGCCTTGGCATCACTGCTTCAGCCTCCCAAGGCAGCAATGGTCCTGACTGATGGCCAGGGCAGCACAGACAGGGATGCCGAGCACAGTAACTGCATCTGCACTTGCAGGACAGCGACTATGAAAATCCAGACGAGCACTCGGACTCAGAGATGTACGTGATGCCTGCCGAGGAGAATGGGGACGACAGCTACGAGCCACCTCCGGTGGAGCAGGAGACCAGGCCGGTTCACCCAGCCCTGCCCTTCGCCAGGGGCGAGTATGTAGGTGAGGCCCCCCGCAGACCTGGGCACTCTGCCTTCCAGGCCCATGAGGAGTTGGGGTGGCCGAGATTGCAGTGTGGGGCAAACCTGGCTGCTGCCTGAGGGCCTCTGCCTACCTCCCACTCCCATCACCTCCAAGCAGCGGATCTGGTCTCTCAGTTAATGAAGCGCAAGCTGTAAGGGTTTCTCATTCCAGGGGAACAGGCAGTCTTTCCTAGATGGGGAACACTGAAAGCAACCAAAAATAAATAAATAAAACCAGCATACCCTGGTCACCGTGCCCCTGCCCAACAGTCACAGGGAAAGCAACCATGAGATTAGTCCCCACTTTTAGGGCTTCGTGTGCTCCAGATGCTGGAATGTCTCTTAAGTCTGTACAGAACGATGACCTTCAAGGATCCCAGTGTCTGCCTGTCCTTCTTCCCATGCCTAGTCCAGACTGTGGTGTTTTGCCAGGGGGTACAGGTGCTCAGAAGCCCCAAGCTTGGAATCAGTCTCATGGGTTAAATGGACACAGCTTCACAGCTTGTGTCTGGGCATATGCTAGTTCTTCCTTTTTTTTTAGACAGAGTCTTGCTCTGTCACCCAGGCTGGAGTGCAGTGGCATTCAATCAGCTCACTGCAACCTCCGCCTCCTGGGCGCAGCCTCCTGCCTCAGCCTCGCAAGTAGCTGGGATCACAGATGCCTACCACCACACCCGGCTAATTTTTGTATTTTTAGTAGAGACAGAATTTCCTCATGTTGACCAGGCTGGTCTCAAACCCCTGCAGTGCACCAGAACTGTGCTAAGCACTGAGCATTCAGCTGCAAGCAAGACGGACATAATCCCAGAGCTCTTCTAATTTACAGTTTAGTGCTTTCCCCTGGGGGTCTACTTAGCCCCCTCAATAATCTTGTGAAAGCGGTCAGAGGAATGAACTGACTGGGCCAAGGTGATCTAAGTGATGGAGCTGGGATACAAGCCAGGCCTCTCAGCTCCCGAAGCCCAGCTCTTCACAATTCTGCTCTAGGTACCACTCACCATACTTGCTGAGTGACCTTTTACAGTCATCATAGCAACCCTGAGAAAGAAACAGCTGCTGCAATTCAGGGTGGTTAAGTGGCTCATTCAAGAGCACACTCTTGGCCCGGCACGGTGGCTCACACCTGTAATCTTAGCACTTTGGGAGGCCGAAGTAGGTGGATCACCTGATGTGAGGAGTTCGAGACCAGCCTGGCCAACATGTAAAACCCCTTCTCTACTAAAAGTACAAAAATTAGCCAGGCATGGTGGTGGGTGTCTGTAATCTCAGCGACTCAGGAGCCTGAGGCAGGAGAATCACTTGAACCTGGGAGGCAGAGGTTGCAGTGAATAGAGATCACACCACTGCACTCCAGTCTGGTCAACAGAGCAAGACTCTGTCTCAAAAATATAAATAAAAAATAAAAGTGAAAAATGTGAGTCCCAGAGAGGTTGACTAATCAGCCGCAAAGAGCATAGCTAGTGAGTGGCAGAGGAGGGGCCAGAACCCAGATCCAGCTGGCCTCACAGCCTGAACTCCTTTTCTGATACCTGCTGAGAAGGACAGTCCTGGATTAAAGGAATCCCACAGATTCCTTGTGAATGGAACGAAATCACTCAGGGGAGGAGCATGGAGGTGGACCCACACGAGTAATCACCACCTGGATACACTAGTATATCCCGGGGAGCTTTTCCGACCCGTAATGCCAAGCTCCTCCCAAGGAGTTTAAACATTGCAGGTTAAGCCCAGGCCTTGGCATCTTTAAAAGCCAGGAGCACCCCACCCCTGCCCCATGGCCTCCAGCGCTGCTTCCATCCCCGCTGTGGGGCTAAGTGTTGGGCTGTTGGCTCTCCTGAACCTCTGGATTTCCATCACTGCCCTGGAAAGATGTTTTTGATGAGGACATTCTTCCAGTTTGTGTCATTTAAGTCAATGGGCAGTTGAAATATTTGGCCTAACATTTCACTTTACTCTTTTAAGGAATGCCCCATGGGTCATATGTGGCTATATAGACAGACACCCACGCTCTTAAGTTTCTAGATCTCAATGGCTTCCACCCAGGAAATGATCCAGAGCCTCTTTTATGTTATTTTTTTGTTTGTTTGTTCCTTTCAAGACAATCGATCAAGCCAGAGGCATTCCCCACCCTTCAGCAAGACACTTCCCAGTAAGCCCAGCTGGCCTTCAGAGAAAACAAGGCTCGCCTCCACCCTGCCGGCCCTGACTACTCTGCAGAAACCTCAAGTCCCAGCCAAACCCAAAGGCCTCCTTGAGGATGAGGTAAAGTAAATCTGTCCCAAAGGCTTCCCAGGACACAGGGCAGCAGGGGGTAGAGGGGAGCAGCCGCGACAGTCTTCCCGCTGGCTGCCCTCGTTTACAACCTGCCCTTGACTGCCCCTCTAACTCTCCACTGTTATACCAAAGGAACTTGGTTTTCTCTCAAATGGCTTATTGTAAGCGTGTCAGGTTACCAGAGGCGTATGATAAAATACCAGTGCCGAGTCTCATATCATCCCCTCCTTCTTTCCGGTGGCTTCCTGTGAATCTCTTCTTTCTGCATAAGATGTCCTTCCCCTCTCTTTATTCTCCGTTGCTTCTCTGTCCTGTTGTTACCGACAGCAGATCTGTACAGGGCTGCAGCAACCTCCACTTTTGCCTCCTCAGAAGAAAGAATTTAACTGAGGGGCATAAGGTAGAAGGAGAAACTGAGGCAAGTTTCCGTGAAGGAATAAAAAGAGGTCAAGTACACTTAGAAGAGGGCCAAGCGGACGACTGGAGAGACAGCACATGGTTCGACCTTTGACTTGGGGTTTTTATATGCGGCCATGCTTCTGGGGTCTTGCGTCCCTTCTCCCCTGATTCTTCCTTGGGGTGTGCTGTCCGCTTGTGCGCTTGGGAGGTGAGCATACACAGTGTTTACCAGAGTTGTACCCACGCTCCCCTGACGCATTCTTGCCTTGCCGGCCGAACGTTTGTAGAAGGTCAAATACCAGTTAAACGCTGACATCTTCCCTCTTAATGCACATGCTTGATCCCACTTGCCCAACTTTTGAGATCTCATCAGGAAACTGCTCATCACCAGTTTCAGGTGTTTTATATCTATTAGGAGACTGCCTTTTCCTGGCACCGGCTCTGACCAATTATTATTTTAGACTTGCAGGTGTCCCCAAACTACGGCCCACGGGCCGCATGCGGCCCCCTGAGGCCATTTATCCGGCCCCCCCGCCGCATTTCAGGAGGGGGCACCTCTTTCATTGGTGGTCAGTGAGAGGAGCACAGCATGTGGCAGCCCTCCAACGGTCTGAGGGACAGTGAACCGGCCCCCTGTGTAAAAAGTTTGGGGATGCCTGTTTTAGAGAAACAGTTAACAACCACCTGACTATCACCCGACGGTGGCCTGACATTCCTGGGGCAGGAGAGCGCTCTCCTGCCCTGGTCCTGCCTGGCTAGCTGTTGGACCCGCCGTAACGCTGTCTCCGCCTTGCTTTCTTTCCTCCACTTTCTTTTCTCTCTGCTCCTCCACTTTCCTCTTCTCAGATGCAGAGGGTGATGTGAGACAAGATGTAGGATGGAGATCACTAGTCTGTAAGGTGCCCCTGCCCAACCTGTGGAGGAGCTGACCCCTCACTTCCTTTGACGGCTTTTGCTTCTCACTTCCTCCCTCCCCACACGTGCCCACCCCAGCCGCTCACCACCGCCACCAGGTGTCCAGAGACCCACCTTCCCAGGTGGCCCAGTCACCCAACTCTAGGCTTCCCTCCTCAGTCTCCGCTCTCAGCACCTAGGGTTTGTGTGTAATTTTCCCTATGGAATTGCTCCTGTTTGAAAATGAATAGGTAAACTCATCCAAACTGTTGTAATAACTGATAAAGCCTAATGTGTTACGGCTCCCAGAGGTCCTTGCATTTTAAACAAGGACAGAGACGAGCCTGCAGCTTCTCTCAGAAATAACTTGCCTGTAGAGGGTAAAACCTATGGCTTACACACATGTCATGAAATGACCTTCATTCACCTTAATGTAATTTGCAGCCCATCAGGAGACTGAAAAGATGGACTTTTAAATCAAAATAAAGGCAGTCTCTAGGCCCAATTCCTGCTTTGGCCCTTCTAGGTGTATGATCTGGGGCAAGCTAGATAACTTCTTTGAGTCTGTTTTTCATCACTGTTATTTTGAGAAATTAATAAGGACATACATACAGCACTAAATACAGTGCCTCACTCACAGAGGGGTTTCATATATGCCAGATTCCTTTCTACCATATTCTAGATTCTTTACAAAAACCAGTTTTCTAGTTTCTTCTGAAAACTGAAGATCTGGCAACACGAGGCCAGCCGCAGCCTCAAAGCAGCTGGGCCCCAGGGCACCCCGCCCCTCTCAGCCGTGAATCTCTGGTCCCTGTTTTGATTTGTCGTAGTTCCCACAACGCATACAGCACATATACACACCCTCACTCCTCCTGTTACCTACCCGTCTGAGAGGTGATGTTGTCTCTTCAAGGGTGGGAAGAGAATGGCAAGAAGAAGCTGAGTAGGGGAGGGGACAGGATGGGGATACCAGCTGTTAGGGTCTCACTATAAATTCTTTCAACATTTGGCAAATCCATATGAAGACACAAATTCAGATATAGAAGGCAAATGAATCCTGCAGATTATGTAAGGCTCTTCATTCTGTAAATAACTGAGAGTGGACCCCAGGGAGGTAAGGCAGAGTTTTGCAAATAGCAGCCTTGTGGAGGTGGCTCAGGCAAGTCTGCACCAGTGGGAAAAAGAGAAATATGAAAGTGAGGGTGTTCTGGAATGGGTGGATGGAGAGCCAATATCAGAAAGGTGTGAAAACAAACAAACAAACAGAGGCCAACATTAAGATGTGGCTGAAGCATTAGCTGGGAAAGGAAGAAGTACAAGCATAAATAAAAATGTTGAACCATGCTCTGCAGGTGAGAGGCAAAACATAGAGATACAGGCTAAACAGAGAGCTGGAGGTGGGGCAAAGACACTTTCGGGGAAGGAGCATCTGTGCTGTAAGGAGAGTGGCTAACACTTGGTGAATGCTGTGCAACCACTGGTGTTCTGATTCACTATCTCATCAAATCCTCACACCAATTCTGTGAAGTCTGTCATCACCCTCACTTTACAGATGAGGAAACAAAGGTGTAAAGGGGCTAAAAAAAAATTTGTCCAAGGTCACAGAGGGAATATACTTGGCTTAGAGGGTATTGTTGTTAGAATTCAATAAAATAATGTATGTAAATCTTTTAAGTGTTCATATGAGTGGTAATGAGGATGCAGCTCCTATGGGCATTTAATAGCTAATCAAACTGACTCCTGCTAAGTAATAGGATATGGGGCAATGGGAAAGTGAAAATAAGATAAATTCATGCCATCCCTATTTCTCAAATCTGTAGTCCTAAGGCGAGGCAAACATGTAAACACTTATGACAAGTGTCTTATTAATACTGAAACATCTGAACGTTGGAGTTGATCTAAGATAATTTTTAATTTATTTTTAATTTTGAATCATGTCACTGTAATAATTGAAGAAGGATTTCTTGTACCTGTAAGTCATGGTAGTAGAATAATCTACCTGGCTTCAAACGACCAATCACTGATTCACTAAAGTCCAGTTTTCGTGTTTTGTTCATGAAATAATGGGGTTGATATTAATGATACTAAAACATTGCAGCAGTGTCAAAGTGGTCTTATTAGGATATAAAATGTGTTGGTTCCTGGTCATTTACTTATTTCAACAATAACAACTTTAAAGCATTGAACTGCCATGCTGGGAATATACATTGTACATTCCTTCTCCTAAAACCCTATAAAGATGAGAGAGTTGGGCAGACACTACAAACAGAATTTGTTGAGATTGGATCAAGTCTTTTTTCCATCATTCTTCTTTTGGAGTACAAATGTCTCCATTCTAGAAATGTCGTTGAAGTGGCCTCATGATCTGGGGTAAACACCCAGGGTTCATCATCTCGCACCAAGAACGTTAATGACAAGGACAGATGTGGGTGGGTTAAGGAGCAGAAAGTTTAACAGACAGAAGAGAGAGGAGAGCATCTCTCTCTCTCTCTCTCTCTTGCAAGACAGTGGCATCTGAAAGGGAAAACTGGGCCTGCAGTGGACAGTAACATTTTACAGGCAGGCTTCAGGAGGTGATGTCTGATTCACATAAGGCCCACCGATTGGTTTGATCAGGTGTGACATTTACAGGGTGGGGAAGAGGCTGGTGGCTCTACCCTAATCTTAATATGCAAGTGGGTTTTCTACTTGGCCAGTGCCATCTTGTCTGCTCCTTACTGTATACATAGCTAGCAAAAAGAAGGGATGAGCGAGCCACCATTTTGATCACGCCTACTACAGGTAGCATTTTCCTATTGGCACAACTGACAGCACTCACCCATGCCAGCTTCCAGCTTGCTTGCCTGTATCTGCAGCTTGATTTTACAGGCTGCTCTTGGTTAGAAAAGAAAATGATTTTTGGGCTGCTTTTTATTAACAGGAAAAAGCTGTCCTTACCAAGGACAGCTTACCTTCACTATCTGCATAAGTAATGTTTTCTTTTCTTTTCTTTTTCTTTTTTTTTTTTTTTGAGGCGGAGTTTCGCTCTTGTTACCCAGGCTGGAGTGCAATGGCGCGATCTCGGCTCACTGCAACCTCTGCCTCCTGGGTTCAGGCAATTCTCCTGCCTCAGCCTCCTGAGTAGCTTGGATTACAGGCATATGCCACCATTCCCAGCTACTTTTTTTTGTATTTTTAGTAGAGACGGGGTTTCACCATGTTGATCAGGATGGTCTCGATCTCTTGACCTTGTGATCCACCCACCTCGGCCTCCAAAGTGCTGGGATTACAGGCTTGAGCCACCGTGCCCAGCCAGTAATGTTTTCTTAACTCCTGTATCATCATCACTCTAAACAGGTCGGATCCTGAACACTGCAGATAAAAACATTTTCTGTAATCAAACACTAGAACAAAACAAGTACAAAATTGAGAATACAGAGGAAAGAATAAATTTTGAAGTGGTTAAGTAGGACTGGGTTAGGGCCTGGAGTTTTCAACTTCCTTGTATCCATTCAGACAAGATTGCTGAGTGTCAAAACCAATGTTCTGTGTTCAGATACAGGATCCTTAAGGATTTTGTTGACTACAGGGTTTCAGAGGATGGGCATGCCTCGTGGGGGCTCAGCCTCTCCTTTTATTGGAACTAACTCCTAGAAGAGAAGTTGGGTTCTAATGAACTATGTCACTCTGGCTACTAACGAATCCAAAAAGGTAGACCCATGGAACCAAAAGGGTCCTGTGGGGATACTGCAGCCACTCAACATCCCATTATTCAAGGCTCTAAGTCAGCATACCCATACAACTTGAGCGAACTACTTAATATTTCTGTGCCTCAGTTTCTTCGTCTTGAAATGGAACTAATAGTGGTACCTCACTTATTGTGTTGTTAGAAGGATTAAATGAGAAAACACATGTAAAGCACATAGAAGAACACCTGGTAATACATTTTTGTTCTTGTTTCTCTCAGTACCCTTCTTGGCTGCCCACCAGGGCAGGTGGTAAAAACCACCTTGGAGATCTGGTTACCTCATTTGTGTCTTGTCAATATAAAATCCCTCCTTTCCTACATTTATGGTCACTTCATTATTGACAAAAGTGCTAAGACAATTCGATGGAGAAAGAATGTTTTTTTAAACAAATGGTGCTAGGTAAATGGTGCTAGATTTGTCCACAGGCAAAAGAATGAAATTGGATTTTTAATCTCATACCATAAACAAAAATTAACTGAAAATGTATTATAGAACTAACTGTAAGAGCTAAGACTATAAAACTCTTAGAGGAAAACAGAGGTATGAGTCTTTATAGTTTGGGGTTAGGCCATGGTTTCTTAGATATGACACTAAAAGTACTTTCAGATGTGACACCCGAAAGTGCTTTTGGTACTTTTATACCCAAAGTACAGGCAATAAAAGAAGAAATAGATAAAACAGACTTCAAAATTTAAACATTTTGTGCCATCAATGATACCAATAAGAAAGTAAAAAAGCAACCTACAGAACTGAAGAAAAGTTTTGCAAATTGTAAATCGGATGAAGACCTTATAACTAGAGTATGTAAATAACTCACAACTCAATAAAAAGATAAATAACCCAATTAAAAATGGACAAAGATTTGAAGAGACATTTCTCCAAAAGAATATATAAAAACGGACAATAAGTATATAAAAAGATACGCAACATCATTAGTCATCAGGGAAATGCAAATCAAAAGTATAATGAGATACCATTTTGCTCACACCAGGATGGCTGTACTGAAAAGGATGGTAACAAGTGTTGGTGAGGATCTGGAGAAACTGGAGCCCTCATACATTTCTGGCATGAACCAAAAATGGTGCAGCCACTTTGGAAAACAGTTTGCCAGTTTCTCCAACTGTTAAACAACAGAGCTACCACATGACTCAACAATTTCACTTCTAGGATATTCCCAAGGGAAATGCACATCTACACAAAAACTTGTACATGAATGTTCAAGACAGTCTTATTCATTACAGCCAAAAAGTGGAAAAAACTCAAATGTCCATCAACTGATGAATGGATTAACAAATGTGGCATACTCATAAAATAGAATAGTATTTGGCTATAAAAAAGACTGGAGTTATGATACATACTCTCCCACAGGAAAACCTTGAAAACATTAAACTACGTGAAGGAAGTCTCAAAAGACTACAGAGTGTGTCATTCCATGTACATGCAATGTCCAGAATGGGCAAAATCTATAGAGAAAGAAAGTAGTTTTGTGGTTGACTAGGTCAAGGGAGGAGCAGATTGTGGGGGAGGGACTAATGGGTGCAAGGTCTCTTTTCTGGGGTGATAAAAATGTCTGAAAATTAGATTGTGGCGATGGTTGCATACTTCTGTGAATACACTAAAAGTCATCAAATTGTACAATTTACATAGTAGAATGTTATGGTATGTGAATTGCATCTCAATAATGCTTTTCTGAAAAATCACTCCCTCCCATACAGTCAACTATGTATGTACAGCGTTCTCCTCATTCAGTTTTGTATTTCTGTTAGGCTGATTATGTGGTCCCTGTGGAAGATAATGATGAAAACTATATTCATCCCACAGAAAGCAGCTCACCTCCACCTGAAAAAGGTAAGAGTTTGTCGTTTTAAGCACCTGAAAATTTTTAGTAGTTGATTGGGACATCCAAGAGTATTTCGTAGTAAGCACTTAGAGGCTCAGAAATGTGCGCCCGGGCCTTTCTCCCCTGGGGCACAGTGTGTGCTGCTTTGCCTGGTTGGGCAGAGAGCATCAGTGACAATCCGTCTCTGTGTTTCATAGCCCTTCCCTGCCTTCCCCTTCCTCTTCCATGATTTAATCCTCCCATCTCAAATTATAAAAGCACCTGTGTGGCTCTCTTCAGCTGCCCTTGCTTCAAATGATTTCTCATAAAACCTAATACAATGTCGCAAGCTACCATGTTGGCCTTGTAAACACTGCACCAGGAACAGTTTCTGCAGAGGAGTGAACAAGAAAGAGTGAAATATGCCCTGAGTCCTGGTTCTTTAAATTTAGTAATATGTTATGCCTACGAGAAACATTTCATCTGTAAACCCTTCGCAGCACAACAAATGCTGTGACAAATGAATCACCTTAAAAAGCCAGTGCTACATAAGATTAGGCGTGGAAACAGGGTATGTTTACTCTGCATATAGTCACTGTGGAGAGTAGGATCCAGTACAAGTGATACTTCTTCAGGTAACAGTACTCTTCTGGTACTCTCAGCTCCATGGCAGCCATATTCAGTTTTAGTCCACCATCATGTAGCGACCTCCCCTGTACTCCATACCTATCACCAACAGCTTCAAGGCCACCTGAATGTGCAAGCCATCCATTACCACAAAACAACAAATACACATTCCCTCCTTCCCAACCCCTCTTCAAAAAAATAAATAAATAAAATCCAAGAGCAATGGTGTGTATTGCATGTGGTAGGGGTGGTGGAGCTATCAATTGGGCCTCTCCAGTAAGGAGTTCGATACATTCTTTTTTTTTTTTTTTTTTTTATTGAGACGGAGTTTCGCTCTCGTTGCCCAGACTGGAGTGCAATGGCGCGATCTCGGCTCACCGCAACCTCCGCCTCCTGGGTTCAGGCAATTCTCCTGCCTCAGCCTCCTGAGTAGCTGGGATTACAGGCACACGCCACCATGCCCAGCTAATTTTTGTATTTTTAGTAGAGACGGGGTTTCACCATGTTGACCAGGATGGTCTCGATCTCTTGACCTCGTGATCCACCCGCCTCGGCCTCCCAAAGTGCTGGGATTACAGGCTTGAGCCACCGTGCCCGGCTAGGAGTTCGATACATTCTTGATGAAAAACCGAAACAATAAAACTCGTTTATCTCCTAGAACTCCCATTTGGCAAATAAAATTTCAAGTCATTCTTCACTTTAACGTGATCCTTATCATCAAATAATCAAATAATAATATATCAAATTATAAATCTGTCATTGATATTTCCATTCTAAAGATGTTTCTTCTGAGAAGGCTTCTTTTATCGGTTTGTGTGTCTAACAAGTGTGTCTCTCATTCTTTGCAAACTCTCTGGGCTGATCATCATTTTTCCCTGAGTGTGAATTTCCCTAAGTGGCATGTATTTGTAATGGTTTTATATATATATATATATATATATATATATATATATATATATGTATATATGTTTGTGTGTTTAAGCTCCCATGGTGAATAGATCAACCAAGCCAAATAACTCCTCAATGCCCGCCTCTCCTCTGGGAACAGCTTCAGGTAAAGTGTGTGTGTATGTGTGATTTGGTTTGGTTTTATGTCTATTCCAAATAAGAAAAACGACTCAGATCAACTATGAAAAAACAATCACTTTTATTTCCAAATGTCTTCATAATGGGAACAGAAGACCAGTCCTCATCCTTATGCACCGTCTGGTGGCACGTGTGTGGAAGGGACCATCTCCCAGGCCCTTTGGCATCTGCTAGACCAAGTTCTGGTTTTCATCTACCTTCCTGTGCACGTTGCTGGCTTCTCTGCCTCCCCTCCCCTGACTGAGAGGGTCCCAGAGTTTAGCCCTCAGCCGTCAATCCTCAGTTCTTTCAGAACTTCATGGTGGTTACAAGCTTGGTTTTGAGCCAGACAGACGTGGGTTGGAACTCCCGTTGCCAGCTCCGCCACCCTGGGCTTGTACTTTGCCTCTCCAAGCCTCAGATTTTCTTGTCTGTAAATGGAGCTCATAGCGCCTACTCTGTGACAGAATTCAGCAAACGTGAATGCGAAACTCTTAATGAGTGGCTGGCACAGAGGAGTGCTGAGGAGAAAGAACGCTTTTTCACTTCTGTGGGGTTCATTGATTATTTGGCCTCACGTCTCAAGTCCACACTGGTAACTCCCTGGCGTCCAACCCTGGCCTGACTTCCCTTCTGAACACTTCGGCACTTCCGTGCAGGACTCTGAACTTGCTCCTCCCTCCCCTGTGGGCACCCCTATTTCTCAATGTATACAGCCTCCAGGCTACATGCTCCAAATCCTGTCTTTGTTCTGAATGTGCTGTTCTATTTTAGCTGTGACCACCCTAGTCCGGGCTTTCTTCACTCTGCTGGCTCGCACCTTCTCCTCTGTGGCAGTCCACCGGCCACATCCCTGCCTCTCAGCTATCTCCTCAGTGACAAGGACAGAGCCACTGAGCTCCTCCAGATGTTACCAGTTTCATCTCACCACAAAGCTGGTTTTTGCCATGTCACCCTACCCTACAAGCCACGAATGTCCAGTGGTCCCTGGTTGCTCCTATAGGTTTTGGCAACCCCCAAGGCTGAGCCCAGGATACTGAGGGGTGCCCGTGATCCCCATTAACAGCACAGAGAGGTATAGGAGCCACCTCTCCAGCATTCTCACGGGCATTTTTCTCCCCCTCTCCCTTTGCCCATCTCCCCTATGCACACATATGTGCATGCACGTGCACACACACACACACACACACACATTCATACACATTCATACACACACTCTCTTCTCTCACAGAGCTGAACACAAGTCATTGAGAGGCTGAGCTCTGCTTCCAGGGACAAGCTCCTTGATAGAAAATGAAAGAAGAGTCGAGACTTTTAGAAATCTTTTCCTGCACTAATTTCTTGTGAAATTATTCACTTTCTTCACAAGTTCTTGTTTTACTTCTCCTCTCCTTCAGAACCCACAAGCGCTTTATATGTGGGGGGTGGAGCTCAGAGCCAACTTAGCCAGCTTATCTTATCCTCTGGAGAGACAAAAGTCAACATGCCAATCTAAAACATCGTGACCAGGTTGCTTAGGTCCCAGCTGAAACGGAGACTCCTAACTCCTGATAACTCAGGACAAGGGCTGTTGTTACTGGAACAGAAAACCTTTAACAAATAAACAAATGAAGACCTCAACCCTCCTTTAGAAAAATAGATTACTAATATCTGGTGTTCACATCTTACAAAGCTCTGCTTGCCTTACAAGGACCTCCTCTTCCTAAAACACACCCAATACTCCAACCAGCCTGTATTTCATGAGTTCTGCTTTTTGGTCTTTGTGTTCTCACTTATGACACCAAATCTTACCCATCCTTCAAGACCCAGCTTGAAGCCTCCACCTCGAGGAAGCCTCCTCTGGTTTCTGTAGCCCTCAGAGAGCTCTCCTTTGCAGGAAGTCTCTTCCCCCTTACGCTTAACCCATACTTATTCCCTAATTCCTTTGCATCTCAGTCTAATCTTCCTACGTACATTGCAAGCTCCTTGAAGACCCTGCCTTTGATGTCATTGCTCAGGAGGCTTTACCTGGCCCCATGCTGAGACGGATCCCTGTAGTGCCCTGCACATGCCCCGAGATTTCTGTCTTTCTTTGCTCATAGCTAGGTTTCCAGGGCCTAGCCCAGAATCCAGCTTGGGGGAGGTGCCAAGATTGTGGATGGGTCAGTTGGTTGAGAGGGTGAATGAGTCCTCTAACACTGGTTATATTAAATATTTAAAGAATCGCCAAGGGGGCTTTAGCCCATTGGATTTATTACTCATAAGTTTGCTATTAACCTAGTATAGCTATATTTTAATACTAGAGACATCAGATGAAGAAAGCAAATCTAAATAAGAAAATAGTGTCCTGGTGATGTGATTTCCACATACAGGTGGGAGCACCTACAGGAGGGGGCATTAAGTAACAATCCTAAACAGGCCACGTGAGTTTCCAGGTGAGCAAATAGTGGAACCTTCAGAGATGATTTTTACAAAAGAAATGATCAGACTATGTCTGTGAATAACCATCCATTCCCCTTCAAAGGCTTCAGAGATCCCCCAGTGGTCATCACAACAGTGTCCATCAGGTGCCTAGTTGGTGTTTCTGTCAAAGCACCACACCAAGTCAGTTTCCTCTGGTCAATATTGCTCTTAGTCCTTTGGTAGCCAGTAAGGTGCCTGCCATGACATAGTAAATCTGGTGCAGTGATAGCCTCTGCCCTCCCCCTGGTGCTTCACACTGAGAAGCCAGTAGAATGGACTTAGCCCAGAATCCAAAGTCAGAGGTTCAGGTCTTGGCTCTGACACTTGCTAGGTGCCAGAGTTTGAACAAGTGAAGTCGTCTCTGTTTCTTAGTTTCTTCCTCTGAAAAAAATGGCACCTATGCCTAGGGGTATCATGAGTAGATATGAGAATTAAGTGACTCAGTATAGATGACTTGCACCCATAAAATGCTAGTGCTTTCTTATTATTATTGTTATTATTCGAAAATCCCTTGTTCAACGGGCCTTGATCCATGACCATTCTGGCAGAGATTCTCAGGGAACAATATTGTTTCGTGTGTCACTGGTCCAAAAAATAGAGGAGTCATGCTCCTTCCTTCCCCAGATCTCTGTCTTCCTGAGGCATGACCATAGGCTTTCCGCCAGTGCTCATGCTGTCCTCTGATCACCAGAAGTTATTCACAGGGAGGGAAAAGGAAAGGAAGGGATTGGCAGACTCTCGGAGATATGCAAGAAAAGCTAGGTGGAAGGTCTGACAGAGATAATACAGTGAGCCAAAGGAGCCCTTGGCATTTCAGAAGAGGGAAAACCCCTGGGATGAAATTCAGACTTAGACCTTCTTTCTACTTCCTTATTTTTCAGACGAGATTTTGTTCCACTTCCCAGAGATCTTCCATCAGAATCTATGAGTAGCCAAGTGTACTTTAACAGTGTCAGTCTTAAGTATTCAATTTGATACACCAGCTACTTAAACACAGTGAGACTCCTACTACACATTCAGGTGACATTTCCGTTTTCTGTTTTCATGTTGTCACAAGAAATGTAAGCATTCCAAATGCAGTCTCTCTTCCAAAATGTTTCAAAAACTCAGACCCAGTTCAGATACCGTGGAAGTCAGAGCTGTAATGAATTGGGCATTGCTTCCCAAGGTGCTGGCCGCCATGTAGAATCCACAGCACCCACTCTTTGCTGTTGCTCCCACCCATGAGGGTTTAGGGAAAGAGTCAGTGGGCTCTGAGTAGAAGCCTGGGGGCCTCTCTCCAGTAATGTACATGGGAACGAACTTCCTGATCTCTATTTCAATACTTTTTGAGGCCTTTTCTTTTTCTTGTTTGTATTTGGATGAGATGATATGGGAGTGCATGTAACTTCCCTGTTAAAAATTCTGAGAGGGCAGAGGCCTATGTCTGCTTCTTCGCCTCTTCTTCTGCCCCTAACACGGTGCCTTCATGTGTTTCACATGTACCAAGTCCTCAATAATCCTTGGTAATGGATCATTACTTCAGTGTGTGCTTATCTGTGTTCCACCTCATAAACTAAGACAGTCAGACTGATGGCAGCGGGTCTAGCCTGTACGTGCAGAGTATTCCCTATAAGTCCATTAGGAATTGTAGGCCGGGCACCGTGGCTCATGCCTATAATCCCAGCACTTTGGGTGGCCAAGGCAGGTGGATGGCTTGAGTCCAGGAGTTCAAGATCAGCCTGGGCAACATGAAGAAATCCCATATTAACAAAAAAATTAGCCAGATGTGGTGGTATGCACCTGTAGACCCAGCTATTCAGGAGGCTGAGCGGTGGGGATCACTTGAGTCCAGGAGTTTGAAGCCTCCAGTAAGCTGTGATCATCCCACTGCACTCCAGCCTGGGTGACAGAACGAGACCCTGTATCAAAAAAAAAAAAAAAAAAAAAAGAAAGAAAGAAAGAAAGAAAGAAAGAAAGAAAGAAAGAAAGAAAGAAAGAAAGAAATTGTGGATTTATACATGTAGTAAGTTCTTAACAAAATACTTATTCAGTTCAGTTGAATTAATGAAGATCCCCCTTGGTCTCACTGAGCAATGATGTTCAAGGTGAGCATATTTGGCTGAGGCAGCTAGGGGATGCTGAGGGGGCTGGCTTGGCTCTGATCTCTCCCTGCTGACCCTACCCTCTGTCCCACAGTAAAGATCCATCTGCCTCTGTCTCACTTCCTCCCTCCTAATGATTGTCTGGCTTCTATCTTCAGGAACAGGAAGGGAGGCTGGGTGCAGGGGACAAGACCCTTCAGGTCCCTCCATGACTTGAGAAGATGAGAGTTGGGCAGCAGCCTGCACTTGTCTCAATTTGTCTGTTAAGGAAAATCTGTGGGCAAAGGCCCTGAGAACTCAGAGATGAATGAGTAATCCTCCAAATGCGAAGTTAGAGGCATTTTCTATATTTAAATGTGCTTATAAAGGAGCAGTGTCTGAGGTCTGTGTCAGGAGTGGAGGGTTGGCTCCTCTGTCTCTGGGCTTCTCTGCCATGCACATTTATGCAGTGTGCACAGATGCAGGTGTGAGCTGTTGGCTCCCTCCTGAAGGACCCCTGTAGGGGCCCTCATTGGGCCCTCAGAAACAGTGGGCTCAGGACTTGCCCCATGGAGCAGGGGTTGGGAGGATGGGTAAGGAGAAGGTCCTTTAGAAATGGTAAGGTGGAGTCCCTAATCCACATCCCAGCTCTGAGCTTATAAACTGACACTTTGTAAATGTGTCATCTCCTTTGCCCACAAGTTTTCCTTAATAACTTCAATATAACTATCTATATGTGCTTAACTGAAAGCAATACAATACTTGTGAATATTTCTGAGCCTGCCAGAAAGGCCAGCCTCACTGTGACCATAAGCCCCTGGTTCAGGACTTGGGAACTGAGCAGTGTATATGTTTGTGCAGGTCGAAACAGTGGGGCCTGGGAAACCAAGTCACCTTTACCAGCAGCTCCATCCCCGTTGCCACGGGTAGGGTAAGTACCTGCTGCAGGAAGCAGCTGTTGAGATCTAGGGAGTGGGGATAGTGATACCCAGTGCCCTGTTGACTTCATTAGAAGGTCTCCACCCCATGGCAGGCTGCAACTTGGACCAAGAGTAAGGAACCCTGCTAACATCAAACGAACCAGGCATGGTGGCTCATGCCTATAATCCCAACACTTTGGGAGGCCGAGGCAGGCAGATCACTGAGGCCAGGAGTTCAAAACCAGCCTGGCCAATATGGTGAAACCCCATCTCTACTAAAAATATGAAAATTAGCCAGGCATGGTGGTGCATACCTGTAATCCCAGCTACTTGGGAGGCTGAGGCAGGAGGATCACTTGAACCTGGGAGGCGGAGGTTACAGTGAGCTGAAATGGCACCACTGCTCTGACCAAGACTCCATCATAAATAAATAAATAAATAAATAAATAAATAAATCTAAGAGCATTTCCTCCTGTGAAATTTTAGTTAAATACTGAGTTCATTAACTTACAGTGTTCCACAAGATACCCTAACTTTCAGAAGTTCCAGCACCTGACTCATTTTCCGAGCCTCTAGCAGGTTTCTGTAAATAAATGTGTAGATACATTCCACCACATGCTGCTTATACCAGGGTGCTCCATCAAAGCCATACCACTGAGGTTCCTCTGTAAAGTGACAATTATTCTTTCTTATCAAATTTAGAAGGGCTTTGTAAACGGTCAGGTGAAGATTGTAATTGTGTTAATATTACAAACATCACCCTGTAAAATGATATTGGTTCAGTATGTTATTTGAAAAGCAAATTTAAATATGTCTGAAGCTGGCCTGCATGGCTCCAATCTTATTTCTGCCTCCGTGTAAACCAAAGAAAGCCTAAATGTCGAAGGTTTATTAACCAAGACTCTGCACACGTCTCTCAGTTCAGGTGCAACACTTTGGGCAAGTGACTTTGTCTCTCTGAGCCTCAGTTTCCTCATCTTAAAATGTCACTTTAAGATTTAAATAACATGTGAAGAGCCTGATCCAGTGCCAGGCATCTTACAGGTGCTCAGGAATTGTTAGTGTTCTTCCCTCACACTTTAGCTCTCAGCCAAAAACAAAGTGAGAGAGAGAGAGAGAGAGAGAGAGAAAGAGAGAGAGAGACATGGTGAGGGTTTTTAAATTAAGAAATTTAAAACACAGAAAAGGAGCATAAAACCTTACCAATATTAGACTGTAGTCTCTATTGGAATCTTGAGTTCCTTGACTTACAGTGTTCCACAAGACACCCCAACTTTCAGAGGCTTCAGCACCTGAATCATTTTGAACTAGAATGTTAGTGCAGGTAAGCACCTTCAGGACCACAGATCAGGGGTTTTCACTTGTTTTGGTCTCGGATCTCTGAATGAAAGCCTTCACAGAAGACCAGTGGAGAACAGTCCCTAGACGCAGGGAGGAAGCTGGAGGGGGCAAGTGCCCTACAACCTCACCTGCTGGACCACCCTCTGTCCTGGGCAGTAACCCCTACAGGGAGCTGTTTCGGAAGAGGGGAGCTCCACAGAGACACTGAAAACACTGATCTGGTCCTCAATTGACAGGTGAGGAATCTAAAGCTCAGCCTTGCCTCCCAGCCAAGAGAAAGAGGCCCAAGGTCACCCACCGAGTAATTAGTAGAACTGGTGCAAGAGTGCAGTTCTGCCAATTCCCGGGCAACTGGTGCCCTACCTTATCCCCAGTTGACCTCCTGCCCATCTGTCAGCAGACTCCATCTGAGCCTAGAAGGATCATAACTAAATCTCACTTCCATCCCTCTCCACCCTGCAAGGATAGTCTTCTACACACTCGTATTGCTTTCATAACTCTAGCTTACATTTCAGACTAAAATAATGGTAAGTAGCTCCATTTTGTCTTCGTTATCTTTTAACAAAGCTCATCTCTTTTTATTCCCCAGGAAAAAACCGACACCACTGAAGACAGTAAGTTAATTTTGCATTTAAAAAGTGCTTCATCTTTACTGCAGTGTTTATTCTTATCCATTTATTTAAAGTTGAAAATGCTCCCAGCTATGGTGAACACGGCAATCTTAGCAACTGAAGTTGCTGCCCAAGCAGTCCAAGAGAAGCTTCGAATCCTCAGGTAGCCGGGGAGGATGCTGCATAGGGGGAGCTCATCCTCACTTGACCCCAGTAGCTTCACTGAGTGTGCGCAGCAGATCAGAGGGGCAGCCAGGCTTCCTGCCCTCTGCACGGGAAACCCCTGTGTCTACCCCCACTGCAGCTAATGGTAGACCATTGCATATCAAGCACACGTAGGCTCACTAAACTCAGATTCTGGCCAGAGCATGGTGAACCTGGGCCACGCCACTTTGTAAGGAAGCCCACCTGGACCTTGTACCTACTGTGAAGCCTGACATCTACTGTCATTTAGCAAACACACAGAAGGTGGGTCCATGAGACCATAGCAGATACCAGATGCCTGCCGCATAAGGGCTACTGTGTGGCAAACTGTTTGCAGGTCATGGTATCCATCAACCCTGTTGACAAAGCAGGGAGGTGTCTGCACCACAGTGACTTTGCTCCTTCATGACACTTCCGGCTATTTGTTGCTTAATGCAAAGGTTGGGCGAGGGACTGTGGGTTTGTAACTGTTGTCGTGATTGAAAGAATAGCAATGCATCAAACTTCTCCCCAAATATTTATTTTAATAATATTGCTCTGATGTTTATTTCCACATTCTGCTATGTTGAATGTCCTTGCCTTTTTTTTTTTTCTTTTACGTAGACTCCAGTTGCCTCTCAACAGAATGCTTCAAGGGTTTGTGAAGGTAAAATCTATTATTTTGGAGGATGAACATGTCCTCTTAAAAGTTATTTTAATTAAGGAGTTGTATATACACATTTATTACATTATTTTTGGGGCAACTGTAAACAGGAAGCTCACAATAGTCTTTCCAATGAGCAGTGAATAGCAAAACTAGCTCCGAACCTTGGTGTCTTTAGAGTAGGCTACAGAATACACGCAAAATCCTGCCTGTTGGCAGACAGGTATGACTTGCCAGAAAATAGTGCTAGGACCTTACATAGATGTGAAAACTAATGTAGAGCCATTCACATGTTTTAGAACTAACAGCTTAGTTAACGTAACGAAAATTTTAAAAGTGTTTATTTGAACAAGTTTTTTTGCTAAGTTTCTTTTTGGGTTTGTTTATTTGTTTGTTTTTGCTTTTGTTTTTTGAAACAGAGTGTTGCTCTGTAACCCAAGTTGGACTGCAGTGGCATAAATCTTGGCTCACTGCAACCTCCACCTCTCGGGTTCAAGCAAGTCTCCTGCCTCAGTCTCCCAAGTAGCTGGGACTACAGGCATGTGCCGTCATGCCCGGCTAATTTTTGCATTTTTGGTAGAGACGGGGTTTTGCCATATTGGCCAGGCTGGTCTCAAACTCCTGACCTCATGATCTGCCCACCTCAGCCTCCCAAAGTGCTGGGATTACAGGTGTGAGCCCCCACGCCTGGCTGCTTTTGCTAAGTTTTCAAGATAATGTTTCCAAAGTTCAAATGTCTGTCTTCTTAGTATATATTCAGTTGCTTTTCTTCCTTGTTTTTGTTGTTGTTGTTGTTGTTGTTGTTTGTTAGGGTCTCACTCTGTCGCCCAGGCTAGAGTGTAGTGGTACACAATTAGAGCTCACTGCAGCCTCAAACTCCTGGGCTCAAGCTGTCTTTCTGCCTCAGCCTCCTGAGTAATCTAGAATTTCTTCCTTTGTCATCGCTCAAAAATCTTACATATATTTTTAGAGCTTTCCCCTGTTAAAAAAATTTTGTTTGGAAATTATCGGAAAAAAATAGAAGAATCATCTATAATAGTAATACTTAAAACTTTATATAGAAGTTCATGCCCTGCACCCATTTAATTCCATACTTGACGATATCCAAGGTTAAAAATGTAGTGAGCATTCTCCCCCTTCCCTGACTCGATGTGTGTGTATCTACATAAAGCACTCTCATTTCTCTGATGATAGACAGTGGATTTTTTCTGAGCGTGCACTACAACTCACCTCTCTGCTTTAACGCTGTCATTAGGCTTTTTCATTCCGTCTCCCACATCTTGCTTCCCCAGGCTGTTTCTGAGGCATCACTCCTTTTCTGCCATATTGCTTTCTTCTGCCTTCCCTTGGAGGCTTTTGTCTTTCCTGTCCTTCCAGTCCTTGCAGCTGCTTCTCAGACCTGCTGAGTCCTCATCATGGACTGATAGTGACCTCAGGGGCTCTGAACTGCTGTAGGAAGTAAGTACAACCCTGTGCAGACTTCATGGCTGCAGGAGCCTCCAAAACCCAGGAGAGAAGGGTTGTACTTACTTCATGGCTACAGGAGCCTCCAAACCCATGGGTCCCCTGCTGCTTAGGTGTCCTCATTCTCAAAGGGCTCCCAGTTACAAAGGAGCCTGGCAGGCTCCTTTGTTATTTGTTTCAAGACCACAGGCAATTGCCATCCAAATGCAAAGCAAGGGAGTGGCCTCTTTTAGCCTTTGAAGGAATCCTTGAGGATAGTGGAGGCAAAGCAGGTGTGGTCAAAGCTTATAGGCTGGCAAGACCTAAGGTGTTTGTTGTTTCTCCTTCTGAAATTACCAAGTTTGAAAGTCATGAGCAAAACATCTAACAGAGGTTTGAAGTAACTTGCCACAAATTCAAAATACAATCTTCAGAGGTTCAAGGTTTCCAAGCTTTACTGCACCACTGAATGGTAAGAAACCCTGACGTCTTTCTTACCATTTATTTGAATCTTTCAGTTCTTACTACTTTTATTTCTTTTGGGTTCCTGTAGTTCTCAGCTTTTCTTCCATGCAGAGACTCACACATGCGCATACCAAGATTTTAACACACCCCTCCCCCCAAGGACAAATTTGAGGGAGAGTTAAGTATTAAAATAATTCGTGATCACATTTATTAATGGTTCAGGAGTAGAGTTCACTATGAGCTTCAACACAAATGTCTTACACTTCAGGTTTATGCCCATTTCCCACCCTTTCTTCCTCTGCTCAGGAAAACACAGTGAAATGCAAGTGAGATTAACATTATTATAGGGATAACCTTGAATTTGATCCAATTACCTTTGCAAAAAGAGATCATTTACAAACCCAGTAGTGTGCCTCTTATCAGTCATACGGTGCTTGTACCACGTCTTATGACTAATAAGACCCACCAGGGCTGTCTCCACCTGTGTGGAGGCCACGTGGAAAGTAGAGGGTGGCTAAAATGTTCTCATCTTCTGGCTTCCACCTATACTCACGCACTTAAAAGTTTCAGGACCCACGGGTTCAGTCTCTACATACATTGCCAATGGATGAATGCAGAGGCAGTAGGATGTACTCGTAACACTGCTGGGAGGAAGTCCTGGTCCTAATAGCACAGCCGCATCAGCGGACTGGCAAGTGCACAGATCCATGGCATCCCAGTAAAAGGCATGTTCCTGGGAAGACTTCTGATCACATTTCGTTCTTCTCGGCTGATGTTGCTGGGTGTTGGGATGAGGACAGACATTTCGCTCTAATCCTAATGTGATAATTTTCCTGATCCAGAAAAACCTATACCTGCTGAACGCCACCGAGGGTCAAGTCATAGACAAGAAGCTGTGCAGTCGCCAGTGTTTCCTTCTGCCCAGAAGTAAGAATTCTTTCCTTTAAAGATCAGTTTCCTCTTGTTGTTGCAGGAATTAACATGTGCGTTGTTTCACTGCACAGTGACACTGATTTGTAGCGCTAGGTAAAGATCCAACATTTCATTGTTCTGCCATTGCGTGTTAAAAGGTGTTAAGCAACTCTAAAATAACTGTATAGAGTTGCAGAGACCTACTAATTGGGTTAATTATTGAACTTGACTAAAATACTTTAGTCAAGATTTCCTCCTTTTTCAAAACTAAAAGGAAGAGTCTTTTTTTTTTTTTTTTTTTTTTTTTGAGACAACACTGTCACGCAGGCTGGAGTACAGTGGCAAGATCTCGCTCAGTGCAACCTCTGCCTCCTGGGTTCAAGCAATTCTACTGCCTCAGTCTCCTGAGTATCTGGGACTACAGGTGTACACCACCACACGGGGCTAATTTTTTGTACTTTTAATAGATACAGGGTTTCGCCATGTTAGCCAGGATGGTCTCAATCTCCTGACTTCATGATCTGCCTGCCTCGGCCTCCCAAAGTGTGGGGACCACAGGCATGAGCCACCGCACCCAACTGAGTCTTACTTATCTTTATGGTTCTGATGCCTCTTCCATCTCTAGATATATTTTATTGGCCATTTATACTGATTTCTTTGTGATGTGCCCATTCATGGCATCACCAGTGTAAACAAAAAGTCAAACTTACTTATATTGTGCTTTGTCCTTTAATTATCTGAAATTCTTCCTTGCAGACAAATCCATCAAAAACCCATACCTCTGCCAAGTAAGTACAATGAAGTCGTGTAGCGTATCAGGGAGTGGTCGAGGCTGGAGCTTAGAGTCTGACAGGCCTACGTGCTAACACAGCACTGTCGCTTCCAGCTGCGTTATCCTGGCATCTTCTCCTGCTTGCTTCCTTACCTGTAAAATGGGGCCAAGAATGTTTATTTCACAGAGTTGCTTTGAAAAGTAAATATATTTGAGGCAATTTTTACTTTTTTAAATAGCGATTTAATATTTTACTGGTCAGGCATCCTTTTTTAACTTTTTTTTTTTTTGCAAAAACAATATAGCTGTTTTCAAAATAATAAGATTAAGTAAAACAACATATGGGGAGCACTAGGTATAGTGTTTGGCTCTAAACAAATAATACCCATTTAACCTAAGTCTAAAATACATTTTAAAGGTCACAAAATATTTCTACAAAAAGTACGCTAAAAAGAGGATGTGGCAAATACCTGGATAATTTTCCCAAGGCAAACATCACCCTAAAAATGTAGGAATTGGCTAAGTCAGGCTCACAGAAAGTAACTGCTCAAGACTTAATTTGCCTTCAACTCAATGAGGAAAAGACAGAAGAAAAAAACTCTGCCTTACATAGGTAATTTGGAATATATTCCAAAATAATCAGCCTTAAATCCATAACAATAATTGTCCACATGCAAAAAATTTATATGCATTTTTTTTACTAAATATAAATTGGCTTTTTAGATTTTAATAATATTCATCTTAAATAAATGAAACCACTAGTTTTTTTTGTTTTTTTTTTAATTCTGACAACACAAAGTGAAAATGATTTGGCTACGGAAATTTATTTTTCCTTATTTAAAAAGTTTTATTATACCTTGTATCGTTTTTCAACCCAAGTTAGTCATTCAGTTGTTAGTGACCATATGCCGTGTGCCAAGCACTGTTCTAGGCACAGGAGATAAAGGATGAATGAAACAAAGACCCTGTCTTCATGAAGTTTGTATTCTATTGAAGGAGATAGACAGTAAAAATAAACACACAAATAATATCATATCAGGTACATGCTAAATTGCTATGAAGAAAAATACAGCACAGCAGCACAGTGCTATAAAGAAAAATACACACAGCACGGAGGAAGTGAGGGCTGCTGCTGCAGACAGGGTGGTCTGAGAAGCCCTCTTCTGTAAAATGGGCATAATAGCTCTTTCCACAAAGAGCTGGTGAAAGAACGAGGCGCTCACGTGTTGAAAACGAACAGGCCTGGCACATTCAGGTGTCAGAAAATATTAGCCATGGGTACTCTTCCAACTGCCAGAACTGCAGAAACCGCCAACAGCACTGCACTGTGCATCTTGGGAAAGTCTATTCACTCACTCACCTTTGCTGCTCATACCTGGGAGTACCGTTCCCCTCCTATCAGAATACAACCTTCCTTTTGGCCCATCTTTGTTGGAGCTGCCAAGCCCTCACTGCCTCCTCCTCTTAGCAATGGTGGCTGCCTTCTCTGAACACCCAGGACACTATTATCTGAAGCACTGAGTTCTTCAAGAACTCTTTCTCCTGCAGACCTCCCCATCTTAATAAAGGATAACTGGTTGCTCTTGTCAAAAACCTTAGAGTCCCCCTTGACTTCTCGCTTTCTTCACTCGCCTTCCAGCTAGTCCTTCATAATAGATCCAGAATCCAACCACTCTCACTACTTCCACTGCTGTGATCTGTCCAAGCCACTGTCATCTCCTGCAAAAACACCCAACTGGCCTCCCCGACTCTGCTCTTGCCACCCTCTGTTTCCAGCCCAGCAGCCAGAATGACCCTGTTAATAGACAGGCAGATCATGTTACTCCCCGTTTAAAACCCTCCAAAAGCTTCCCTTACCATGTTCATTACAGCTCTTGAGTCATGTTAAGGGTCCACCAGGTCCTATAAATCTGGTCCCTTCATTGCCTTCTATCTGACTGTATTTCTTATTCTTCTCCCCTCTTCTCACTGTACTCCAGGCACAGTGGCGCCCTTGCTATTCCTCAGGGCTTTGTGTTCATGGCTCCCTCTACCCAGGACATTCTCTCCTGGGATGTCAAATGCCTCCACCCTCTCCACCTGCAGATCTTACCCAAGTGTTCCCTCAGTGAGGTCTTCCTTTCCTGATTTATTTTTCTCCATGGCATTTATGGCCCTCTAATATTCTATGTGTATTTTTACCTATGTCTTTATTGCCCATCTCAATCCATTAAAACTTAAGTTCCAGGAGAGCAGAGCATTTTGTGTTTTATCAACTGCTATATATCCCTAATGCCTTTGAGCCATGGCAGAGAAACTGAATGAATGAATGAATGAATGAATGTAGATAAGTATTTTCTGTATTTCAGGTTTCCACATTTAGACTGTAAACTCTTTGAGGGAGCTGATGACTGAAGAGAGCAATTCTCAGACATTTTGGTCTTGGAATCACTTTAATCCTCTTAAAATCATTGTAGACCTGAAGAGCTTGGTTTACATGTTTTTATTGGCACCTAGTATTTTAAGAATTAAAACTGAGACATTTAAAATATGTATTAATCCATTTAAAAATAATATTAAACTCATTACATGTTAACATAAATAACATGGTTTTATGAAAAATAACTACATTTTCCAAACTAAAACAATTTATGGGGAAGAGTGGCATTCGTTTACATTTTGTAAATCTCTTTAATGTATGTTACTGCAATGTAACAGAGACTGCTGGTTTCTTATCTCTGTGTCTACATTCAATCTGCTGCAAAGTTTTTCTGGTGGAACTACATGAAGAAAATCAGGTTTCATAGTGATAGGTAATTGGAAAAGAAAAGACCTCTTGAAGCCCCTGAAAGGATTGTCAGGATATCCAGGGGTCCTTGGACCCCATACTTTTGGAACTATTGCCTTAAGGATTTTGGGGGGGCATGTGTCCCCCACAGCACCTAGCACAGTGTTAGGGTGTAGACATAGAAAGAGTTCAAGAAACATGAAGATTAATTGAAAGACTTTTCTGATCCCTTTCAGGATTTACAGAAGGGGGAAGCCCAACTGTGGATGGTCCCCTACCCAGCTTGTCATCTACGTCCACTATCTCAGAACAGGTATGAAATCAACTCTTGATGTCGCTAAATTGTTACCAGGAAACTGCAGGAAAAAGCATGTCTTCTGAGAAGAGGGCGTTTGGAGTGAACCTTGAGAACAGAAACTCTATGTTACATCATTATGTGAACTGTCATTTGCTAATAGGGACAGAATACCCAGTTGTTGTTGCTGTTTTCAATGATTAAGATATTGCTCCAGTTAATGTTTCCTCAAAACTAACAAGGAAATGTGTTTTCACTGTTCTTCCTCTCACACAGATTTTATTAAACTTTGCAATCTCCTCCAAATAGATCTGTGGAGGCTTATGATATTAAATCATAAATAAAACAGCACAGTTTAAAAAGAGACAGAGAAAGGACTCTGTGTGCCCTTGGGCAAGTCTTTCTAAGTTTTCATAAAAATACATGTAAAAATGTAAAATACGGATAACAGCATGTGTCCTTCTTGCTTTCAAAGACGGCATATGTCCTTTCTTGCAAGAATCAAATAAGATAATATTTGTAAAAATACTTTGGAAATTATAAAGCACTCCACAAAGTAAGAGCAGTCAGAGCAGTAAGAGCACAATGGAAAGGGAGATTATTACTTATTTAGGAGAAAGAAAGAAAGAGTTCAGGAACCTAGCTAAGTCCAAATGAAAAAATATACAAAAAAACAAGTTGATAGTATAATCCTTGTGTTTGATCAACGGAAAAATAAAACTCATCTTAAAATTATTGGTCCAAATGTAGAGGCCTGTCTTGATAATGCAAATGAGTCTTGGTTTCTAGTACACAGAAATTAGAGATGAGTAGGGACCACCTCATGCTGACCAGTGACCTCCATTTCACAGGAAGCTGACGTTCTCTGCAAGCCATGGTATGCTGGTGCCTGCGATCGAAAGTCTGCTGAAGAGGCATTGCACAGATCAAACAAGGTCTGATCTTTTTTATTATTTATATTTATTTATTTATTCATTTATTTATTTATTTATTTATTTTTGAGACACAGTTTCACTGGAGTGCAGTGTCTCAATCTCGGCTCACTGCAACCTCTGCTCCTAGGTTCAAGTGATTCTTATGCCTCAGCCTCCCAAGCAGCTGGGATTACAGGTGTGTGCCACCACATCAGGCTAAGTTTTGTATTTTCAGTAGAGATGAGGTTTCACCATGTTGACCAGGCTGTTCTCAAACTCCTGACCTCAGGTGATCCGCCCACCTCGGCCTCCCAAAGTGCTGGGATTACAGGTGTGAGCCAACACACCCAGCCAAGATCTGATCATTTTAAAATCGCACATTTTGCCCTCAGCCTGTAATAGACACAATTGCCGTCCTTATGATATGCTAATTAAATAATTGCAACAAGTATAGATACAAGAATCTTTTTCCTTTACTTACTCAAAAGAAAATGCTATCCCCTCCTCTCTTTCAAGTTCCTCCATCTTATTTCTACTTGCTCTTTCATCTCTGCAAGGACCCACAGGCTCCTCACTGCCCTCTGAACAGTGTGGGAGGGAAGAAAGCTCCGGGGGAGATCTATGGAAGGCTTGTGCTCCATAAGCTCCACTGAGGAGTGAACAGTGACAGGCTACTTTGGATCAATGCACAGGATTAAAAATCTGAGTCGAGAGGGCAAGCAAACAAACAAACAAAAAACACGTGGAAGTAAATGTTTGGAGAGCCCAACTTCAATCACGGAGGAACACCAGGGACAGTTTGGACAATTCAAGATAAAGTGTCACTTTGTCTTTCTCTCCTTTCCTCCCATTTTCGTTGTTGGTGTTTACTCGCACCTTTCTTTGTCAGAGTATGTAGCATTTGCATACTGTTCTTCCTCACCCTTGTTTTAGTCCTGGCTCTACAAGTAAATATATTGTGTGTCCCATCAGTCCTTTGGTTGGCTTCCACCATTGTCGTTTTCATTTGATAAAGTGTACCCGTAGTAGATTCTGAGGCAAAACTGTGTTTACATTATTCCCTGAGTTCTTGTGCATTCAAAACTGTTTTCTCAGCCAGGCATGGTGGCTCACGCCTGTAATCCTAGCACTTTGGGAGGCCAAGGCGGGTGGATTACTTGAGGTCAGGGGTTTGAGACCAGCCTGGTCAAGATGGCAAAACCTCATCTCTACTAAAAATACAGAAATTAGCCAGGCATGATGGCAGGCACCTGTAATCCCAGGTCCTCAGGAGGTTGAAGCAGGACAATCGCTTGAGCCTACCCAGGAGGCGGAGGCTGCAGCGAGCCAAGGTTGTGCCACTGCTCTCCAGCCTATGCAACAGAGTGAGACTACTATTAGGGGTGGGGAAAGCGAAGGAGTTAAAAAGCTGTTTTCTCATATCCTAGTAGTTGGAAGCAATCTTGGCTGAATATCAAATCCTTAATTTGAGTTTTAAAAGTGTTGCTCCACTAGATTTTGTTGTTCCATATGATGCTCTTGAGAAGTCTGATGCCAATGTGACTTTCTTGCCCTTCTATGTAATTTGATACTTTAGTCTGATGGCTCTGTAGGCTTTTGTTTTTAAAGTCTAATCGTTTTACCAGAGTATATCTCTGAGTTGATTATTCCAAGTCAATTTTCTCAAGTAGACAGAGCCCTTAAGTTTTCTCTTACAGCCAATAAGTTTTCTTAGAGTGTAGTCTTAACGGGTAGTCTGTTCCATTGTTTTGTTTTTCTTCTGCACGAACTCAATTTATGTGCATTTTGGATCTTTTTCGTCACTCTTTCATTCCAATCACTGTCTTTGATTCTACAGTACTTATTTTAGTAAATCACATTTCCTTTCCTGTCTTTTTTTTTTTTTTTTTTTTTGAGACGGAGTTTCGCTCTTGTTACCCAGGCTGGAGTGCAATGGCGCGATCTCGGCTCACCGCAACCTCCGCCTCCCGGGTTCAGGCAATTCTCCTGCCTCAGCCTCCTGAGTAGCTAGGATTACAGGCACACGCCACCATGCCCAGCTAATTTTTTTTTGTATTTTTAATAGAGACGGGGTTTCACCATGTTGACCAGGATGGTCTCGATCTCTCGACCTCCTGATCCGCCCGCCTCGGCCTCCCAAAGTGCTGGGATTACAGGCTTGAGCCACCGCGCCCGGCCCAAGTGTCATTTCTTAAATCTTCATTTGAGGTTCTTGGACATCTTAAAATTTTTTCTTTGTTTCTGAGATAGGTTTGTCTTTTTCTTCAATTTTTTTTCCTGAGTTTTATCAACTCTTGTTGCATTTCATTCTGTTTTTTGTCCATCTTTTGTTTGTAATTTTTTATTTTATGATTCTAAATATTTTAATAAAATATTTAACAAAATTTGAATTATTGTGTTACAGTTTTGGGATTTTTTTAAATATAAGTTGTTTGGGGAGAGAATTTTCATCAGCTGAAAGTTTTGATTCCCAGTCTCTGTTTTCTTCTTACAGGGCTTATGAATGGAATTTGTTTGATACTTCTTTTTTGTAGACAACTGGTGACTATGGTTCCCATTTCAAGCGAGTCCTCTAGGTTTGATCTTAATGGATCCCCTCACATTTTTCTAAATTTTATAAACCTAAAACTTTATTTAGCACATTAAAAAGCTAGCATTTAGCTGGGCATGGTGGTACATGCCAGTAGTCCCAGCTACTTAGGAGGCTGAGGTGTGAGGATCACTTGAACTCAGGAGTTCCAGACTACAGTGAGCTATGATTGCACCACTGCACACCAGCCTGAGCAATAAAGTGAGACTGTCTGTAAAAATAATTCATTAGTTGTTACTTTAAAGGCAAGCATTGATCTTACTCAGAATTTTCTATGAGTATATATTTTCCTGGACTATTTTATTAGAAAATAAGAAGACAAGTGCTAATCAATAATAAAAAATAATGTAGCTATTAAATAATTTACCTTTGGAATGTAATATACATTCTTTATAAAATGATTTTTGAATCTGTAGAAATATAAGTAATACTAACCATAATTATGCTTTTTAAAAAAAATTAAACAGGATGGATCATTTCTCATTCGGAAAAGCTCTGGCCATGATTCCAAACAACCATATACACTAGTTGTATTCTTTAATAAGCGAGTATATAATATTCCTGTGCGATTTATTGAAGCAACGAAACAATATGCCTTGGGCAGAAAGAAAAATGGTGAAGAGGTAAGTGATTTCTTTTTAAATTCAATTTTATAACTATGCATTGAGTATAATTACATCATCTACGTATTAGATGCTAGAGATGAGAAGAAGCAATACAAAAGTATTTGTTCTTATGCTTGCATTGGGCAATATATCCTATAAGAATGCAGAAAAGGGAAAAATGATGTGATGTACATCCTAGTCCTTCCATTCAGTTATTTAGTGAGGTCAGTCTGACACACGATTTAGTCCATGGGTAAATATAAATCAAGGTTGAGATGTCAAGTTGAATTAATGTTGTAAGAATTAAGGTCAATTAGCCGGGCGCGGTGGCTCAAGCCTGTAATCCCAGCACTTTGGGAGGCTGAGGCGGGTGGATCACGAGGTCGAGAGATCGAGACCATCCTGGTCAACATGGTGAAACCCCGTCTCTACTAAAAATACAAAAAATTAGCTGGGCATGGTGGCGCGTGCCTGTAGTCCCAGCTACTCAGGAGGCTGAGGCAGGAGAATTGCTTGAACCCAGGAGGCGGAGGTTGCGGTGAGCCGAGATCGTGCCATTGCACTCCAGCCTGGGTAACAAGAACGAAACTCCGTCTCAAAAAAAAAAAAAAAGAATTAAGGTCAAGGTCCAGACCTACAAAGTAAATACCTAAAAATCTCAACTCAAGTACCAAGGTAGGTTACCAGGGAAGGATCCAGAAGAGATACAGAAACTTGAGTTAAGATATTCGACTATAGCCCTTGTACCAGAATAAACTTATGGGCCTGCAGCAAGAAGAAAAAATCACGTGGGTATTAAATATTAGCCAAACATTAACTTTAATACCTCTTTCATCTGGACCAAACTCAATGCTTACCATATCTCAGTTTAGCCAGCCTGCTCCCATAAATGAACCCTGAAATATGAGCTGGAGTAACCCATGAATGGTCTAGAAATGGAGTGATACTTGTTCAGGTTTTGAATTATGGGCTGAATTTGAATAGGTAGAATATAAATTGGAAGGAAGTAGAAAGAGAAAAATGGGAAGAAGAATCTATGCAGAGAAAATAGCATAAACAAAATTCAATTTAAGCAATATTTACTTTCAAGATTCCTTCAGAAAAAGCTACACCATTCCAAACCCAGCACCTGTTAGAATGTATTTAAATTGTTGGAAAGTGTCATGATTGCTGAAGTGTCTGTCTTCTCCACTCTACGTGAGGCCAAGGACAATGTCTTTTCATCTCTGTATTTCCAGAATCAGACCGCAATATTTGGCTTCAGTGTACACTTAATAAATAATTATTAAGCGACTGAATTGATTTGATTGAGTGATTGCAAGCAGGAGAATAGCATTTTTGAAACAAACTGAAAAAGTCATGGGTATTCTTTATTTTGCTTTTTAGACAATTGTGGTTTAAAAAACCACATATAAAATTTACCATCTTAATCATTTTTAAGTGTACACCTCAGTAGTGTTAAGTATATTTACATTGTTGTGAAACAGATCTTCAGAACTTGTTCATCTTACAGAACTAAAACCCTATACCCACTAAACAACAACTTCCTTTTTCCCCCTTCCTGTAGCCCCTAGCAACCACATTCTATTTTTATGAATTTGACTACTTTAGATACTTCATACAAGTGGGGTCACATAATATTTGTCCTTTACCACTGGCTTATTTCACTTTGCATGATGTCCTCGAGACTCATCCATGTTGTGGCATGTGTCAGGATTTCCTTCCTTTTTAAGGCTGCATAGCATCTCATTGCATCTATATACCACATTTTGTGTGTCTAACATCCATCAGTAGACATCTGTGTTGCTTCTACCTCTTGGCTGTTGTGAACAGTGCTGCTATAAACATGGGTGTGCAAATCTCTCCAAGACATGGCTTTCAATTATTTGGGGTATATACCTGGAAGTGGGATTGCTGGATGATATGGGTATTTTGTTTTTAATTTTTTGCGGACCTCCCAAACTTTTTTCCATAGCAGTTGAACTACTTCACAATTCCACCAACAGCACACAAGCGTTTAACTTCTTCACATCCCCACCAGCACTTGTTAAATTCTGAATTTTGTTGTTGTTGTTTTACAGTAGTCTTCCAAATGGGTGTGAGATGATATAGCTTATTGTGGTTTTGATTTGCATTTCTCCGATGATTAGTGATATTGAACATTTTTCATATGCCTTTTGGCCATCCTCTGAGAAATGCCTATTCTATTTTACAATCAGGTTATTTGATTTTTTTCTGTTGCTGAGTTTTAGGAGTTCTTTATATATTCTGGATATTAACCCCTTATCAGATAAATGATTTGCAAATTTTTTTTCCCATTCCACAGGTTACCTTTTCACTCTGTTGACTGTGTTATTTGCTGAGCAAAAGCTTTTAAACTGATATTGTCTTGCCTATTTTTGCTTTTGTTGCCTATGCTTTCAGTGTCATATCCAAAAAATCATTGCCAAATCCAGTGTCATGATGTTTCCCTCTACATTTTCTTCTAGGATTTTTATATTGGGAATTTTATTTTGCCTTTAACAAAGTCTCAGATAATTTTAAAATGCAAAACTCTTGAATCTGAGAGCATTAATCAAGACCTATGGGTATTAAAATGTAGATTGCATTATCATTTCACATCCTAAAGCTTCCCCAGCAGTCTAACTCTTCTATAAGAGGCTTAAGGGTGGGTGAAGCTGTCCTATTTCCAGGTCCTGAAATTCTCTCACACATTTTGAGCTCTGCGAGGGGCTCTGAATTTCCTTGTCTAGGAAATCCTGGTAAACAGGAATTTGTCTTGGCCTAAAGAAACTTCATCTCTACTTTAGAATGAATAGACCAGAGCTTCACCTCACTTTTAACATATTCAACCTATGGATTTCAAAATAAGTAATTTATTACTATAATAGTATCTGGAGGTACAGACAGTCAACTAAAACTCTTACTTAAATTATCTGTAATAAAAAGATTATGTCCCCTATACACTGAGCATCTGGATGGAAAATTAAAGTGTCAGTTAAATGATGTCAATCATGTGGATTTTTTTTAGTCTGTATTTTTGTGTATGTGGCTAGAAAATGTAACCAATTCATTAACTGTTTAACTTTTTATGTAGCTATTTTGGTATTAAGTGATATAGCATTGAGTAATTTTACAGTTTTGACAACTGTCTGCTTTGTCTTATTGGTCACGAGATTTTAAGTTATTAAATGAGTTGTTTTTCTGTCCACATATGAATATCTCAAATACATTGAATTAATGAAAAAAAAAAAAAAGGAGAGCTGAGGGGAAGTCGTAACTATGTTATGCCCAATTCCTTTTTAAATTAAATCACAAATATTCTTCAACTGCATTCGCTACTTCAAATGTTTCTACTCAGCTCAACTCCCTACTAAAAACACTGAATCCCCAAATACCACAACAAGGCAATAATCACAAATATTCAGGGACTAGAGGCACAGAATGAGATCTTTGTTTCTGTAAGTGTAGCAGTCCTCTCCTATGCTTCATAGGTTCAGAACACACTTTGCCCCTTGTAATCCACTTCAAAGAGTTATGCTATTTCATTTTCTGGCCCTTTAATCCATAAATTTAACTTTCAACTGCATTTGGTTTAGCAACATGTTATGCCAAACAAGCAGAATGAATGTTCGATGGGATTCATAATGAAAGAATTTCATTGGCAATTGCAAGAGGGCTGAATGATTGAACAGGAAGTAAAGAATAAAGACTAAAGGTATGGCCAGGTGTGGTAACTCATGCCTGTAATCCCAGCACTTTGGGAGGCTGAGGCAGGCAGATCACCTGAGGCCAGGAGTTCAAGACCAGCCTGGCCAACATGGTGAAACCCCATCTCTACTAAAAGTACAAAAATTAGCCAGGCATGGTGACACATGCTTGTAGTCCCAGCTACTTGGGAGGCTGAAGGAGGAGAATTGCTTCTACCCAGGAGGCAGAGGTTGCAGTCAGCTGAGATTGTGCCGTTGCACTCCAGCCTGGGTGACAGAATGAGACTCCGTCTCAAAAAAAAGAAAACTAAAGGTATTTGAAAGTCCCTGTCTCTTATCTCCCCCCCCCGAATGAATATTCAGATAGCCAATTATCTAAAAGACAACTGGTATTTCATTTGAAAATGTTGGCCAATATTCTGAATATTTTACTTTATTCAATATGTAGATACTTGGAAGTCATCCAAAAAATTAATAAAAGCTTAAAATTTTTACTCTAGATGTTTGTCTTTATCTAAAAAATGGAGAAAATAAAATCAATTGATAGTAACTGCTAAACTTATGGCACTGTTGTAAATCAATTACCACATTTTAAAAATGATTCTAAATACATGTATTTAATGAGTGTGAACTTGCAGCACTTTTGTATACGCGATGCATTTCATTTCATGGTCTGTGTTACATTTATTTTATCCTTTAAAACTTTATTTTTCAAAACAAAATTTGTGATAATTTTAAAGCAAAACCCATAGCAACAAGGTTCAAAATTTAGAAAAACAAGTATGTATGGAGAGAGCCTCACATGAAATTTCATTATTAATTAGGCACTAAGTTAAAACTCTAAGCTTACCAGGAGCCAAGTAAAAATGGAAATATGAAGGTGTATAAAGCTTTCTTTATTTGTTTAAAAAAGAAAACAAAACATAAATTTGTTTAGGAAATGACTGTTTCCTTGTACTAAATTCTAAGGTTAATTTATTACATCAGTTCTTGTATCTGTGACTTGTGCAAAGTAAGAGATGATCTATGTTTTGTAAAGAATGTAGAAAATGCATTGCATGACTGTTTTACATTTCACAGTAAATAAAAAGCAATATGCTATAATATTTCATCATAACTTAGTGAAGTAATCTCTCTAAGTAGCTATGCTAATTGTGGCTGTCGGTGTATTTTTCACCGTACTTAATACAGCTAAGTCCAAAGTTTGTCATCTTGAAGGTTACAGACTTTGTTAAATTAGATTTTTGGGGGGCAGAATGTCAGCTGGGATGTAATAACTTTTACTAACTTGAGAATGAAAGAAGATGGGAGGAGTGGAGCTCAAAGTTAACACAAATGCCAATGTGTAATTCACCTATGTTTTCTTCCTCTAGTACTTTGGAAGTGTTGCTGAAATCATCAAGAATCATCAACATAGTCCTCTGGTTCTTATTGATAGTCAGAATAACACAAAAGATTCCACCAGACTGAAGTATGCAGTTAAAGTTTCATAAAGAAGAAAAAAATCAGTATCATTGTTTCAGACATTTTCCCAAGTTTCTCCTTTTGAGAAAAAGTCCTAAAACTTCATATTTTGGATTATGAATCAGCCAGTAATAAAATAGAAGATGATTTCTTTTTAAGAAAGTCACATGGACTTTTTCTACCTATTGCCTGACCTGTGAACTGTTAATATCTGGTGAGGTTGACTTATCATACTACGAATATTTTCCAAATAAATACATTCATTTTTAAAAAGAAGTGTAAAGTACATTCTCAAAATAAGAAAATAATACGCTTGCATAAAACAGAGTGGCTGGAAATTTAAACCTCAACAATGATCATTTGTACACTAATATAGCTGAGCTCTCTATTGCCAATGCTTGACAATTAAGTTTTGGTTAAAATTTTAATTTGTAGAAAATAAGGTATTATGGGTAATGTATGATATCTGTAAATATAGACAAAAAGGATGTAATGGTTCCCTTTTGTGAGCACTGCCAACCACTGGAGGTGTACATGGATATGAACGTTCTGTAAGTTCTTGTCTAGGATTATGCTGTCAGTTTTGCTTACTAAACATAATTATACCCTCTTTGATCTGCATGTCTATCAAACAGAAACTAAACTTGATATGAGGTTTGTATTAGTCCGTTCTCACATTGCTAATAAAGACATACCCGAGACTGGGAAAAAGGAAGGAAGGAAGGAGAAAAAAAAAGAGGTTTAATGGACTCACAGTTCCATATGGCTGGGGAGGCCTCACAATCATGTCGGAAGGTGAAGAAGGAGCAAAGGCATATTTTACATGGTGGCAGGCGAGAGAGCATGTACAGGGGTACTGCCCTTTATAAAACCATCGGATCTCATGAGACTTATTCACTTTCACGAGAACAACATGGGAAAACTCGCCCCCATGATTCAGTTACCTCCCACCAGGTCCCTCCCATGGCACATGGGAATTATGGGAGCTACAATTCAAGATGAGATTTGGGTGAGGACACAGCCAAACCATATCAAGTTTCAAAGTGGAATGACAGCCAAACTAGACCAAAAACCAGTTCTAGAGAAATATCCTACAAAATAAGGGCAGAAAAGCACACGCTGGTGAACACCATGGAATAAAAGAGATCTCATCATGGAGAATCATGCCTGAGGTTTTAGATCATCCCATAAATGTATCATACTTTGTCATATAAAAGGCTTTTTTCTACTGTGTACCTCAGTCAGCACTGAAATGATAAAGCAGCTAATTAAGTCTAATAATTAAATGGGGAACACATTTGACTACTGCATAAGATGGCAATTTATGAAAGTATTTTGAAAGGCTAGAAGGTAATGATTTCAGAATAATTCATGACTCACTTGTAAAGATAATTGTATTTTTGGCCAGGCGCAGTGGCTCACAACTGTAATCCCAGAACTTTGGGAGGCTGAGATGGGTGGATAATGAGGTCAGGAGTTTGAGATCAGCCTGGCTAACAGTGAAACCCTGTCTCTACTAAAATCACAAAAATTAACAGGGCGTGGTGGCCTGTGCCTGTAATCCCAGCTACTCAGGAGACTGAGGCAGGAGAATTGCTTGAACCTGGGAGGTGGAGGTTGTAGTGAGCCAAGATCACCCCATTGCACTCCAGCCTGGGTGACTGAGCGAGACTCTGTCTCAAAAATATAATAATAATTTTAAAATGTCATATACTTCCATAATTACCACCTATGCTATGGATTGCACTGTGGTCCCCCCCCCCCCCAAAACATATGTTGAAGTCCTAATCCATAAGGCCACATACCTCAGAATGTGACCTTATTTGGGAATGGGGTCTTTACAGATGTAGTCAAGTTAAGATGAGGTCAATAGGGTGGGTCTTAATATAATGGCTTGTGTCCTTATGAAGATAGGAAATTTGGATACAAACACAGGCACAGAAAGAAGACTATATGAAGAGATGCACAGGAAGAATACTATGTGAAGCCCTGGTGTGATTCCATCCTGCAAGGCTGTTCTCCTGAGGAGTGGTTGCGCTTATCTCCATCTGCCTTCTCTCCCACCTAAGTATGTGCCACCATCCAATGGAAGATTCGATGGACATGAGCCCCCTGAGGCACCAGAACTATCTTTTCTGTTATGAACTAAGGCCACCAAAGATTATCACTTTAAGATGGATAATGATAAAAATGAGCACCAGTTATCTTTAAGAATGGTCAGTTTAAGGGCTTGTGCAAAGAATGAATTGCACATTGTTGAAGCAAAAGCAATGAATCACAAAGGCAGTCCAATCAAAGTAACACTGGCAACTTTGAAAATGTACAGCCAACGGTTTCCCTTGGGGGCTTTGAAATAACACCACCAGTGGTCCTGTGGCTGAAGTGTGGTTCAGAGCCAGTGTATATTAGTGGACAGTACTTAGTAGCTGTGGAAGAAGATGCAGAGTCAGAAGAGGAAGAGGAGGAGGATGTGAAACTCTTAAATATATCTGGAAAGTAATCTGCCCCTGGAGGTGGCAGCAAGGTTCCACAGAAAAAAAGTAAAACTTCCTGCTGCTGCTGCTGCTGCTGCTGATGATGATGATGATGAAGGCAATGATGATGATTTTGATGATGAAGAAACTGAAAAAAAATGCACCAGTGAAGAAATCTATATGAGATATCCTAGCCAAAAATGCAAAAAAGTCAAATCAGAATGGGAAAGACTCAAAACCATCATCAACACCAAGATCAAAAAAACAAGAATCCTTCAAAAAACAGGAAAAGACACCTAAACCACCAAAAGGACCTAGTTCTGTAGAAGACATTTAAGCTAAAATGCAAGCAAGTATAGAAAAAGGTGGTTCCCTTCCCAAAGTGAAAGCCAAGTTCATCAATTATGTGAAGAATTGCTTCCAGATGACTGACAAGAAGGCTATTCAAGATCTCTGGCAGTGGAGGAAGTCTCTTTAAGAAAATAGTTTAAACAATTTGTTAAAAATTTTTCGTTTTATTTTATTTCTGTAACAGATATCTGGTCCTTTTTATAATGGAGAGTGAGAACTTTCCCTACTATGTTTGATAAACATTGTCCAGGTTCCATTTTGCCAAGAATGTGTTGTCCAAAATGCCTCTTTAGTTTTTAAAAATGGAACTCCACCCTTTGCTTGGTTTTAAGTATGTGTGGAATGTTACGATAGGACATAGTAGTAGCATTGGTCAGACATGGAAATGGCACTGAGACAAAAATATACATGTGAAATAAAACTCAGTATTTCAATAAATATCATGGTTTCTATTTTTTTAAAAAAAGAATACTACATGAAGATGAGGGACTACAGTGATGCATCTGTAGGTCTGGGAGCACCAAAGATTGCCTGCAAGCCATCAGAAGCTAGGAAGAGGCATGAACAGACTTCTCTCCAGGTTTTAGAGGGAGCGTGGCCCTGATGACACCTTCATTTTGGACTTCAAGTGTCCAGTACTTGAAGACAATAAATTTCTGGCTTTTTAAGCCGTCCAGTTTATTATGGCGGCCATAGAATCTAATAAAATCTATATGCAGTTTTTACATTCAGGTATATACGGGTTTGAGAAATTTTGTATGAAAACTTTTTTTTCTCCTTTTAGGAAAACCATTGAATCATTTAGAAAGTACTAGAAAAGTGCCAGGCATGGTGGCTCATGCCTGTAATCCCAGCACTTTGGGAGGCTAAGGTGAGTGGATCCCTGGAGGTCAGAAGTTCGAGACCAACCTGGCCAACGTGGCAAGATCCCATCTCTACTAAAAATACAAAAATTAGCCTGGCATGGTGGCTCATGCCTCTAATCCAGCTACTTGGGAGGTCGAAGCATGAGAATTGCTTAAACCTGGAAGGCGGAGGCTACAGTGAGCCAAGATGGTGCCACTGCACTCCAGCCTAGGTGACAGAATGGGACTCCACTTCAAAAAAAAAAAAAAAAAAGTACTGAAAAGGATGACTCACAATTTAAACTGGGAAACTAGGTTAATTTTTTTGTAAAGCAAAGCATCTGTTTGTAGTATGAAGTATCAGCTCTCTGGTTTCAATTTGCCTCAGTGTTACAAGGAATTATTTTCTATTTAAGCAAACACTCATTAATTCCTGCTGCTACCACAGCAACCTTGGCTCCGTAACAACCTCTTCTGCCTCAGTTCTCTCCTTCTCCAGGTGTCCTGCTCCAGCTAGGCGATCAGCAGAGCTGTTAAGATTATACTAATCCTCGGTTGGTATTCAGCACTGTGTGGTGAATTTCTCACAGCAGCGGCAGGGAGAACATCTGAGAAGTAGCGGCCATTCTTTGCTAAGGGCTCGACTCCTCCCCAAAGCTGGGAGAAATACCCAATCCAGCATGCTGGTCTTTACCCTCCTCTTGCAGAAGATTCCACGGAGGGTGATCCTACCTGCTTCTCCAAAGCTCACCTCTGCAGGTGGTATTCTTGATGAAATTAGAAAAGTCTTTTAAGAGTCCGGGCATGGTGGCTCACACCTATAATCCCAGCAGTTTTGAGGATCACTTGAGGCCAGGAGTGAGACCAGCCTGGTCAACACGGTGAAGCCCCATGTCTACTAAAACTGGAAAAAATTAATTGGGCATGGTGGCACTGGCCTGTACTGTAATTCTAGCTACCACTCAGGAGGCTGAGGCCTGAGAATCACTTGAGCCTGGGAGGCAGAGGTTGCAGTGAGCTGATACCATGCCACTGCACTCTGGCCTGGGCCACAGAATGAAACTCTGTCTCAAAACAAATAAATAAATATGAAATCTCAAAACACCAGTCTGATCTCAGTGTCTCAATGGCTGACAAACAAATGGTTCTGCAAAAATAAATTTTCGGGCAAGCTAGGTGGTGGAAGAGGAGACATTAGTCAAGAAGTACATTGTGTAGCACCTGAGGAAGGAAAAAACAAAAATGACCCCAGTTCTTCTTTTCTGTTGCAAACCAGATTGCAGCTATAGTAGTAGAAAGGCTGTTCAAGTTTGTTCAAAAGGACACTAGATATGAAAAAGCTAGGCCTGTGACCATCACAAGCCTGAATTGTGTTATCATGAATGCACTCTGGGAGGTAAACTACTCTTACTGTAGTTGCTGGGACAATCTTGCCTAAAAGGAAGTCCCAGAGAACAGAATTCAGCGATGTGAGGCAAAACCAGCACCATGTGAGACATGTTCTTAAAACAGGACTGAATTCTCTTTCAAAACGTTCTTAAGATGGCTTATAACTCAGCCTCTATTTCTAGATAAGGGTATATGGAAACTGCTTAAAGATCCC